TCCCACAGCCCCCTTCGCTGCTCCTCAGTCTCCTGCCTCCTGAAGGAGTGCTTGAAAGGAGAGCCAAATTTCCCACACAGCCCTCTTGATCAAGTCAGCATCCATGCCCCGAGAATACAAGAACCAGAGCAAAAGACCCCTCTGTTCTTCCCTCCCTTCTGGGATTCTTGTTGTCACTGTTGTCATTTCCACCAGGAACCTCCTAGATCCTCTCTGAAAGGGAACACCTGGTTCTGGGCACTGGAGCTAGTAGGGGGCTCTAATCTCAGCTCTGCCACGGACATACTGGGTATCACTGGGCAGGCTGCATTACCTCTCCAATTTCATTTCCCAACCAGGGTGGGTAATCCAGACAGTCCTTCCAGCTGGCCTGGACCACAGTTCTAAAGTATATCACTATGCCCTCACTTCTGGGAGCTTCTGAGATAAGTCCATGGATGTCAAAGGATATGTAGCTCACAGTGAGACAGCTGAAAACACTGCAGAAACATACCCATCTGTGCATTTATACAGGACACAGCAAGGCCACTCTCTAAGACGAAACAAACAAAGGCTTTCAAATTTGTCTGCATGGAGGGTAATGGAGTGACCGTGGCCTCCCTATGAAGCTGCTCTTCCTCTGTGAATGACGCTGCATGTCAAGAGGGACTTGCCTGGCCGGAAAAGGGCTCAGGATCAGGCAGATGGACACGGGTCCTCTTCCAAGGTCTGTCCCCACCTCACCATGTAACAAAGATGATGTCATAGTTGGACGGACTCTGAGTCTCAGCAGTGGGTATAGTTCTTTCCTGTCCCTGCCAACCCAGGGAGACTGACAGTGGTCCAAAGGTACACCACACTAAAAGCAGACCCTGCAGCTGGAGAGAGCCTTTGCGTCTTAGTTACTTGTGCTCACACCCCAGGTGAGCTGTGCGTGCTTAGATGCAGGACCCTGAAATTGAGCAGACTAGATTAGAAACTGGGTTTTCCCCATCACTAGCTGTGTGATTTGGTAAATTACTTTCACTGCCTAAATCTCACTTTCCTCATCTGTAAATTGGGGATAATAACAATAATAATAATAGCTATCTGGATGAATTCTTAAGGGATTAAATGGGCAATGTCTATAAAGTGCTTAGAATTAAAATCAGTAGATGCTGGTTTTTATTTGGTCATGGTATAGAAGAGAAGGGGAAAAGGACAGACACATAGGACCTCTTGCTTGCATGTGGCTGGTAGGTCAATGGACACACCTGGCCCTGCCTGACTGTGGGTCCCAACGTATGTAATATGTCCTCCTGGGCCAGCCCCTCCATACCTCCCGGAGGACAGTGATGATCCATAGGCTGGCAGAGTGGATCCTTCCAGGCTGGGTGGTAGGATGGGAGGAGGGAAACAACGCTCTTTTTCTTTTTTTGAGATGGAGTCTCACTGTCGCTGTGGCTGGAATGCAGTGGTGTGATCTCAGCTCACTGCAACCTCCACCTCCCAGATTCAAACAGTCCTCCCACCTCAACCTCCCAAGTAGCTGCGACCACAGCACACGCTATCATGCCTAGCTAACTTTTATATTTTTGGTAGAGACGGGGTTTTACTATGTTGCCCAGGCTGGTCGCCAACCCTGAGCTCAAGCAATCAACCTGCCTTGGCCTCCCAAAGTGCTGGGATTACATGTGTGAGCCACCACGCCCAGCAACACCCTTTCATAGGGAGGGTCTCAGGATGGCGCTGAGGAAGGAGCAGGAGAAGGCAGCTTGGAATAAAACTTGAGATATTTTTGAGATGTAAAAGAAAAGGAGAAGGCCAGGCATGGTGGTTCAAGCTTGCAATCCCAGCACTTTGGGAGGCCGAGGCAGGCATATTATGAGGTCAGGATATAGAGGCCATCCTGGCTAACATGGTGAAACTCTGTTTCTACTAAAAGTACAAAAATTAGCTGGCATGGTGGTGCACATGTGTGGTCCCAGCTACTTAGGAGAATCTCTTGAACCCAGGAGGCAAGGTTGCAGTGAGCTGAGATCACGGCACTACACTCCAGCCTTGGTGACAGAGCGAGACGCTGTCTCAAAAAAAAAAAGGAGAGAGAATGGCGTTTCTACCCAAGCCTGAAGGCTGTGCCTCCGCAGGCCTGGGCTCGCCTGCCAAGAGAGGGGGTTGGGGTTCTCACAAAGGACACTTAGTGGCTGTGCTAAAAGCCAGGGATTGTGTTCCCCCAGCCAGAAGAGGGAAGAATTTGGACAGGAGGGGGATTTGAGCACAATCCCTGAGTGTGGCCGGCAGCATCTGATGGCCCGGGAGGGTCTCCTCTTCCTTCCTGCTCTTTAGCAATCTCCTCCCCTGCCGTGAGGGCTGCTTCCTCTTGGCTCAAGGGGTGGTTTTCCCTGTGCTTGATGAATAGTGTTTGAGCATGGTGGGCACAGGCTGCTCGGAGGGGGGCTGCTTCCCCACACAGACAGGCCCTGGGCTTCTCTGGACAGGGCCAGGAGCAGGAGTGTGTGTGTGTGTGTGTGTGTGTGTGTGTGTGTGTGTGTGTGTGTGTGCGCGCGTGCCTGTGGGCACATGTGCAAGCCATGTTCAAGACCATTCACTCCATCCGTGCACATAATGGGGTACAGGAAGTGAAAGGACCTGCAAAGATCCAGAACTTCTGTGTCTTTATCTCAGTTATTCCTTGGAGATGATTTTCCAAAGTCTGTCAGAGAGCATCAGGGTCTGTGGGAGCCAGGCCATTCATCCAGAGAGGCAAAGAACAAAGGGAAAGGAGGCAGGTGCGTGTGCAAACCTCAGCTCTGCCATTCATCAGCAGCGTGGTCCTGGGCAAGTCACTGTTCCTGCCTGAGCCTGAGTTTCAACTGAAGGTGGTTGATTGGGAATGTGATGACATGTAAGGTGCCTGACCCATAGGAAATGCTCATTAAATGGAGCATTTAATGGAGTTGTAACTGTTTTCCTTCCTTCCTTACCTCCTTCCCCTTCCTTCCTTCCTTCCTTCCTTCCTTCCTTCCTTCCTTCCTTCCTTCCTTCCTTCCTTCCTTCCTTCCTTCCTTCCTTTTCCTTCCACAAGGTCTCGTTCTGTCACCCAGGCTGGAGTGCAGTGTCGTGATTTCCGCTCACTGCAGCCTCGACTGCCTGGGCTCAGGCCATCCTCCTACCTCAGCCTCCTGAGTCGTTGGGACTACAGCCATACATCAGCATGACGGGCTATTTTTTTGTATTTTTAGTAGAGGCTGGGTTCCATCATGTTGCCCAGGCTGGCCTCAAACTCCTGGGTTCAAATGATCTGCCGGCCTTGGCCTCTCAAAGTGCTAGAATTACAGACGTGAGCCACCGTGCCTGGCCCATTATCATAATTTATTTATTTATTTATTTTAAGACGGGGTTTCCCCATGTTGGTCAGGATGGTCTTGAACCCCCGACCTCAGGTGATCTGCTCACCTTGGCCTCCAAAGTGCTTGGATTACAGGTGTGAGCCACCTTGCCCAGCCCCATTATCATAATTTCTATGTTTATCACTCAATTCATGGTCTAACTGAGCCAGAAGCCAGGTGTCCTTCCTTGTCCCCATAGGTTTTGACCAAGTGCTTCTCTCTTCCTCCACATCCTTGCCCACAGGTCTCCTCTCTGGGAGTCACGACCTTCAGTCTCTGTGCCCTGGGCATTGACCGCTTCCACGTGGCCACCAGCACCCTGCCCAAGGTGAGGCCCATCGAGCGGTGCCAATCCATCTTGGCCAAGCTGGCCGTCATCTGGGTGGGCTCCATGACACTGGCTGTGCCCGAGCTCCTACTGTGGCAGCTGGCACAGGAGCCCGCCCCCACCATAGGCACCCTGGACTCGTGCATCATGAAACCCTCAGCCAGCCTGCCTGAGTCCCTGTACTCACTGGTGATGACCTACCAGAATGCCCGCATGTGGTGGTATTTCGGCTGCTACTTCTGCCTGCCCATCCTCTTCACGGTCACCTGTCAGCTGGTGACGTGGCGGGTGCGAGGCCCTCCAGGGAGGAAGCCGGAGTGCAGGGCCAGCAAGCACGAACAGTGTGAGAGCCAGCTCAATAGCACTGTGGTGGGCCTGACTGTGGTCTACGCCTTCTGCACCCTCCCGGAGAACGTCTGCAACATCGTGGTGGCCTACCTCTCCACTGAGCTGACCCGCCAGACCCTGGACCTCCTGGGCCTCATCAACCAGTTTTCTGCCTTCTTCAAGGGCGCCATCACCCCGGTGCTGCTCCTCTGCATCTGCAGGCCGCTGGGCCAGGCCTTCCTGGACTGCTGCTGCTGCTGCTGCTGCGAGGAGTGCGGTGGGGCTCCAGAGGCCTCGGCCGCCAGCGGCTCGGACAACAAGCTCAAGACCGAGGTGTCCTCTTCCATCTACTTCCACAAGCCCAGGGAGTCACCGCCGCTCCTGCCCCTGGGCACGCCTTGCTGAGGCCTCAGCAGGAATGGGGCGGGAGGGAGGGGCCACCACCCCGCCAGTGTCCGCTGTTCTTTCCCCATAGGTCTTGCTTTGCTGCCTGTCTTGCTGTCTAGAGATGGACTTGGTTCCTCTTGTTGAGGTTTGGGGGTGTCAAGGCCCCTCCCCACAGGGGGCCTTTGCTGTCCCTAGCAGGGCCTTCCAACCCTGTCCTTTCCACTGGTGAGCGGTGATGCTTCTAGGTCCTTAGAACTGCCCAGAAAATCTGAGTCCCAGCAGCTGGGAGCCAGAACGTCGCCTGCCCTCTCTTGGGTCCGGCCTCTCTTCCCTCTGTCTGCCTTGGAGCCTGACCCTCCTCACGCATCATTTTCCTTCCCCCAACCTGGGACCCTGTCTTGAAACGGGGGCTCCTTGGGGGCCAGCCCAATGTGGCTCAGCACAGTCTTCTTTTTCTTTTTGGAGACGGAGTCTTGCTCTGTCACCAAGGCTGGAATGCAATGGCTCGATCTCAGCTCACTACAACCTCTGCCTCCTGGGTTCAAGCAATTCTCTCGCCTCAGCTTCCTGAGTAGCTGAGATTACAGGTGTGCACCACCATACCCGGCTAATTTTTGTATTTGTAGAAGAGAAAGGGTTTCACCATGTTGGCCAGGCAGGTGTTGAACTCCTGACCTCGAGTGATCCTCCTGCCTCGGCCTCCCAAAGTGCTGGGATTGGAGGTGTGAGCCACCGCTCCTGGCCTCAGCACACTCTTCTCTGGACCGGATCTGTTCCAGCCCTGGACGCCTCCTCCTACTGGCACCTTCTTTTCTTCTGGAGGATTTCTCTCTCCTTCCTCCTCATTTCTTTGGGATCCCCTGGTTGCCCCGTCCCAACCCCCTGGTTAGGTGCTTTCCCATAGGAGGCCCTTCCTGAGAAACAATAAACTAGGTCGAGCTACCCCTCTGCCCATCCACTTTCTTGTGCCATATCCTGGCAGGGCCCAGATGCACTGGGCCTTCCTGGCCTGGCAGTGCCTTGGGGAATTTCTCCTGACCTGGCCTGTCTGTGGCTGATGTTCAGCACAGCCCTGTGGCCCTGGGGACTCCAAGGGTTTTATGGCTTTTGAGGGACAGAGAGGATGGAGGGTTTGGGGAGCCAGGGGGCCTAAGTCCTCACTCTGGCCTAAACGCCATGGTCCCTGGGAAGTCAAAAGCCTGCAAAGTATCTCCTCTGGAGCCCTCATCTCTGCTATGCCCTCTCTCCACAAAGCCCCCCTTGGAGGGAGTCCAGTGGTCTTCCGTCTGTGAGCCTCAGGGCTTCCCAGCCTTTGTCACTCTGAGAACCGCTCTTGTTCAGTTTCTTAGAACGGACTGTTTTGCCTGTAGACCGCCCAGCTGCCTGCCCTGGCCTGCCCCCACCCAGCCCCCATTGCACCACCCTTCCCTGCAGAGCTCCCGCCATCCGCAGCAGACCCTTCATGCAGCTCTGCCTGCGGGGTCTGGCCCTTGAAGTCCCACTTACTTCCCCCAGTCCCACCTCTGGGCCCTTCCGGAGGGCACCCTTAGCCTTGTGGGTCCCTGAGAAGCTGTCACAACATCAACCAGAAGTGATGCCTCATCCAGGCCACCAATCGTGCCCTGCTGGGAGCTCGGCTTTTCTCAGAACCACCGCCCCTGTCTGAAGCTCACTCCTGGGTCCCACCAGACTTCTGCTCACCAGGCCCACCTACAGCATCTACACAGGGCCTCAGGAAGTGTCCCCGGAGCCCAGGGACATGGAGGGGTGGGGGTTCCGAGCGCCCGGGGCTCCATTCTCCTCTGTCCACCCACCCACACCCCTTGGCCTCAGCCTGCCCTGTACCCAAGCTTCCCTCCCCCTCTCCTGGGGATCTTAACAGCCTTGTTCTCTCTCCCTGGCACCCACCCCCAGGACGGGTGACGCCGCCAAGAGAGAGGGAGGCCGTTGCTAGGTGATGGCGCTGCCATGCGCACAGCCTTTGTGCTGGGGAGTGACACCCACCCATTTCTCAGCAGACCTGTTGCCACGGTGACTGAAGCCCCCAGCCCTGTCTGTAGAGACTTCAGATGGGTGGGGGAGCAGGTTGGAGAGGGGACCAAAGACGGGACTGCTGCGCTGAAGCTCCCGGGGACTGTTTCCTCCATGTTTCCCCAACTCCTTCTTCACCCACCCACCCCCTGGCCCGGAGGCACCACCAGCTTCCTAAGGGACACAGGAAGGGGCCAGGTGAACTGAGGTGAAGTCCAGGACAGGGGGAGAGAGGGCAGGGGAGGCAGACCCCTCAGCATCCTGTTTAGGGGGCCTCGTCCACAAAGGGTGCCCTCCGCCTCTCCTCCTGGAGCTGGTTGGCCGGCTCAGAGAGGAAGGGGCAGAGATGGTGGCTCCAAGGCTCTGCCTCTGCCGCCTCCCAGGCCTGCCAACATGAATGGCTTGCAGAATCAGTCAGCAGGCCAGCGGCCTTGGGAAAGAGCCACTGTCCCTGCAGCCTGGGCCAGCTGGGGGAACAATGTGGGGTTTGTTGCTTAGGGGTCCCAGGCTTGGGGGGCAGGGTTGGCACATGGTGGGCGATGGACTTGAGCTGGGATGCTCTGAGGTGCCGCTGACATGCTCACCCAAGGCAGACTTCAGACCAGCCCTCATACCCTGATGCCAGGTTACAGGGGCGAGGGGAGCCCGAATCTACTGGGTCCCTCTCCCTGCTCCACTTTCGAGTCACCTTCTCAGCACCTGTCTTGGAAGCTGTGTGCAATTACTTAAATGCAGTCTCAGCTTCCTCATCTGTAAAATGGGAATAATCTGTCCTTCACAGAGGATTATGGTCATTTAATGAGACAAGATACATCAAGCACCTGAAACCTTTTTTCTTCCTCCCCTTTGGGAATTCAATTCCTTTTCTTTTTTTTTTTTGAGACGGAGTTTCGATCTTGTTACCCAGGCTGGAGTGCAGTGGCACGATCTCGGCTCACGGCAACCTCCCCCTCCTGGGTTCAGGCAATTCTCCTGCCCCAGCCTCCTGAGTAGCTGGGATTACAGGCACGCGCCGCCATGCCCAGCTGATTTTTTCTATTTTTAGTAGAGACGGGGTTTCACCATGGTGACCAGGATGGTCTTGATCTCTGGACCTCGTGATCCACCTGCCTCGGCCTCCCAAAGTGCTGGGATTACAGGCTTGAGCCACTGCACCCGGCCTTTTTTTTTTTTTTTTTTTTTGAGATAGAGTTTTACTCTGTTGCCCAGGCTGAAGTGCAGTGGTGCGATCTCCGCTCACTGCAAACTCTGCCTCCCAGGTTGAAGCGATTCTTCTGCCTCAGCCTCCTGAGTAGCTGGGATTACAGGCATGTGCCACCATGTCCAGCTAATTTTTGTATTTTTAGTAGAGACAGGGTTTCACCAAGTTTGTCAGGCTGATCTCGAACTCCTGACCTCATTATCCACCTGCCTTGGCCTCCCAAAGTGCTGGGATTACAGGGATGAGCCACCATGCCCAGCAAGGAATTCAATTCTCTAGTGTTATGAAGCAGGCTTGGCCAGAGGATTTTTTTTTTTTTTTTTTTGAGACAGAGTCTCACTCCATCACCAGGCATCAGGCTAGAGTGCAATGGCATGACCTTGGCTCACTGCAACCTCCGTCTCCCAGGTTCAAGCAATTCCCCTGCCTCAGCCTCCCAAGTAGCTGGGACTACAGGTGCACCCCACCACGCCCAGTTAATTTTTTTGAATTTTTAGTAGAGACGGGGTTTCACCATGTTGGCCAGGATGTTCTCGATCTCTTGACCTCGTGATCCACCCACCTTGTCCTCCCAAAGTGTTGGGATTACAGGCGTGAGCCACCGTGCCTGGCCCTTTTTTTTTTTGAGACAAAGTCTCACTCTATCACCAGGCTGGAGTGTGGTGGTGCGATCTTGGCTCCCTGCAACCTTTGCCTCCTGGGTTCAAGCAATTTTCCTGCCTCAGCCTCCTGAGAAGCTGGAACTACAAACAAGTATGCGCCACCACCCCCAGCTAAATTTTTTGTATGTTTAGTAGAGACGGGGTTTCACTATGTTGGCCAGGATGGTCTCAATCTCTTGACCTCGTGATCTGCCTGCCTCAGCCTCCCAAAGTACTGGGATTACAGCTTGAGCTACCGCACCCGCCGGCCAGGGGATTCTTAAATGCAGCCAGGTTTCGGCATCAAAAGGCCCCAAGCATGACAATTTACTTATACTCATGATCTGTTCCCCGTTCAACTTTAATAGTTGTTGGTTTTTTTTTTGAGAGTTGAGAGGTCTCACTATGTTGCCCAGGCTGGCTTTGAACTCCTGGGCTCAAGCAGTCCTGCCTCAGCCTCCTGAGTAGCTGGGACTACAGGTGTGTGTACCACCATGCCTGGCTGAACACATTTTTTAATTTTTATTTTTGAGACAGGGTCTTACTCTGTCACTCAGGCTGAGTGCTGTGGTGTGATCACAGCTCATTGCAGCCTCTACTTCTTGGGTTCAAGCAATTCTCCTGCCTCAGCTTCCTGAGTAGCTGGGACTACAAGGCATGCATCACCACACCTGGATAATTTTTGATTATTTGTAGAGATAGGGCCTTACTATGTTGTCCAGGCTGGTATTGAACTCTGGGATTCAAGTGATTCACCTACCTTGGCCTCCCAAAATGCTGGGATTACATGCATGAGCCACTGCACCCAGCCCCTGGACAAATTCTTTTTTTTTTTTAACTTTTAAAAATTCCTTGTCTTTGTGGTGGAAAAAGGATGAAATTGAAAGGGGGAAGAAGTGGAAAGGAAAAGACAGAAGAATGGGAAAGCGAAAAAGAGAGACTGCTTACCAAACAGCCGGAGGTGTGTGTCTGTGACCCCAAGGCAGTAGGTAGATCTCTTCATGGAGGGAGCACAAGAACAGGGACAGCAGTTTGGTCTCCCATAGGGGTTCCCCCATCCCAGGCTTCAGCACCAAATGTTTAAAATGTGCGCTTTGAATGAAGAGACCCCCCAAATAGGTTTTGTGTGAGCAACATGGCTGTTCATTCACTTGGGTGCAGGTGGGCTAAGTCTGAAAAGAATATGACCAAATTCTTTAAGTCATATTCCCCTGCTGCCTGTAGGCACTGTGGAAGGATGATGCTCGCTTGCTTCCTGGTAACCAGCTCTCTTATCTCAAACCTCAATCCTCAGGGAGGATAACAGGACCTGAGAAGGGCAGCTCAACCTGGAAACAGCCCCAGAGGAGTGAGATTGCTGGTCCTCTCCCGGGATCCCAGGCCCAGGGCAAACCCAGCCGTATTTGTAGCCAGGAGAGGGCAGGCGACAGAGCCCAGGCCCCCCTTCAACCTCCTTAGCCAGGAGGGTACGTCCCATTTCCTTTGGAGTTGGGAGGTACCCTGGAATCACTTAGCTTCAGATGCCAAATTCCATCCATTCTTTCCTCCAACTCTGCGGCAGTGGGGAACTGCCTTTACCGGCAGGCCCTCCTCTGACAGTTCTGATGACTGCCTCCAGGAGGAAGCCCTGGGCACCAATGAAGGTGAGGGGCTGGGGCACCCAGAACCGGGAGTCAAGATCTGCAATCTCAGGACTAAGGGACAATTCCACTCCTTTTTTCCTGAAATGCGAGGGGTGAGAAGAGCAGGGGTGTTCTGCAGGGCCTGCTCCATTTTCCAGGGTGAAGGAGAGGCCGAGGGAGGTAGAGCGGGAGGAGGTGGGGCTTACTGTGAAACTGGGTCAAGATGGCCTCGGCAGGGCTACCAGGCTCTGAGGCAGCAGCTGTGGGCAGTGCCGAGGGACCAGCTCTGACGGTAAGGTCGGGGGAGGACTCAGATCCGGCAGAGGAGCGAGAGCAGGGCTCCTACTGGGAAACGCACAGCATTGGCACTAACTGAGAGGCAGCAAAGGCGGTGAGGATCTCCCAGGCTCTGTGGGCCCAGCCCTACCCCTGGAGCACAGTTAACTGGTTCTGGGGTAGGGACTGGCGGCCAGAGGGACAGGGTTCTGGTTCTGGCCCAACCCTGGCTGCCAGTGAGATCCAGGGCCTGGGAAAGAGGGGCTGAGGCCTGAACTGAGTGTAAGAAAAGGGCAGCGTAGTTTCCATACAAAACAGCATCCAGCCTGTGCCACTGCCTCCTGACCCAGCCCTGGGCAGTTCCCTCAACGAGCTCTGCAGCCCCACGCAGCAGCCGCTGGCTCAAAGCTGGGACTACACGGAAATCTGAAGAGAATGAGAAAGAGAAAGTGCGAGAGCCCGACACACGTGTGGGAGGCCATTTGTACAGTGCCATTGTGCTCCAGGGTGGGCATGTGCTCGCGCCCCATGGCTCTGTTGGTGACCAGCGTGTGGGGGTGTGCTGGTGGCCCTGTGGGCCTGCTGGGCAGCCCATGCCAACTGCAGAAAAGTAACTGGCACCATACACCCCCCCAACACAAAATCGGTCATTTATTTTTGTTCTTGTCATTGTTATTAGGAGGCAAAAAAATGTACAGTTACAAGAATCATTTTCCAAACAGAGGTTAAATATGAGCTGAAAAGTGTAAAAAAGGAAGAGGAACATCACTTTACAAACCATCAAATTAAACAAATAAACAAACAGAACCCAAAGAACCACCCCCCATGCTGAGTTCTCTCCCTGTGCAACTCTGCAAAATGAGAACAGAAAATGAAGTGGGCCGTGGAGGTGGGGGCCCTGGGGAGGGGCGGGAGCTGGGAGCCAGGGACAGGCAGGAGGGGGCTGCTGGGGCATGGACGCTGGCTTTCTGCCCCGTGCTCCTGGTGGTCTCTGGTACCTGGTCGTACCTGGTGGCCCTACCCAGGCTGGGGATCGAGGGGCAGGGCCTCTGGAGGCCCCTGCCAGCCTGTGGCATTCAAGCGCTGCCGGGACAAGCCAGATTGGGTGGTGAAAACACACAGGATGGGGGGCGGCCACCAGTGCCCAGGCTGGTACCTGCCCCAGGTGCCAGCCTCTACCTCTCCTGATCTGAACTTGCCCAAGTACACCTGCGTCTCCCTCCTTCCTCCTGACTACCCCCTCCCAGATCCTGAAAGGCCCCTGCAGCATCAAATGGTTGATTTTAGTCTTTGCTTAAATTAAAAAATTAAAATATATATACATATATATACTGTACACACAGGACAATAACAGAGAGTGTTGGAAAGGGAGGTACAGGAGCGACTGGGGAAGAGCCAGGGGTAGGGCCTGTGGCCCAGGGCTGCTGGGAGGGCGGCAGGGCTGGGTTAAGGGACAAAGGCAAGGGGAAGGGTGAGAAGTTAGGGGGCCAGAATAGGGGGCAATTTATTTTACAATAAAAACAGGAGTTGAAACCTCAGCAGAACAGGACTCTGGGGTCCCCAGAGGGCCCGCCTCACACTGGGTGAGGAGGGGTGGGCTTAGGGGGACGAAGGGGGTGGGCGGGGAGCTCGGCTTCAGGTTTAGATGACGACGGTCCCTGGTCTGAGGGAGAAGGGCTGCAGTCTCAGCTTCTCCGTGACTTTGAGTGTTGAATAAGCCACTGTAGGGTGATATCTGAGGGAGGAGAAGAGAACGGCTTACAAGGCCTGCAAGTGCTGGCCATGCTGGGGCGGCAGAGAGGCCCAAGACACCAAACGTAAGGGCATCAGAAGTCCAGAGGTGCCAGAGCGGTGGCACACACCTGGAGTCCCAGCTATGTGGGAAGCTCAGGTGGGAGGATCGCTTGAACCCAGGAGTGGAGTTGGAGGCTGCAGTGAGCCATGATGGCGCCACTGAACTCCAGCCTGGGTAGCAGAGCGAGACCCTTTCTCAAAAACAAACGAACAAGAATTCCAGAGCTGGCAAGCGCCACACAGCTCTGAACGGTGGTGGCGGGACCTGGTGCTGGGAAAGAGACAGAGCCACAGCATGCCAGAGCCAGCAGGGGCCTGAGAATCACCGCATCCAACTCTGGAATCTTAGAAGTGATGAGGGAAAGCCCAGAGCGGGGATGGATTTGCCCAAGATCACACAACCGCTTGGGAGGAGCTGGGACAGTGCTCAGAATCTGGGCTGCCCGGCTGCCTTTTCTACCTGAGAGCCACAGAGCTTGGACTTAAAGGAACGTGTGGAGCCAGAACTTTTGAGAGCCACGAAAACACCCAGTAAGGCCTCTTCCCTCTCCCTTTGCCCAATCCCACGCACCAATGTTGTCCTTTTCTTTGCAGGAAATGGAGTAGCAGCAGATCTCTCGGTCCTGGATGGCAGACAGATTCCTGGGGGAAACCAGAGCACAGTCGGCTGAAGCTATGATCGCCCAGGGGGTCTGGGGCTAGGGGACAGCAGGGCCTTTTTCCTACTCAAGAGGCTACAAGGAGGGGGAGGCGCCTGAAAAGGTGGGCTCTTCTGCCACCGTGTGGCTAATCCTGAGAACAGCAGCAAGCCTAAACCGTTGGTCTGGCAGTTGGGGAATTGGGAGAGCAGAAAGTAATATAAAGAGCCACCCAACTCACATTTTCTCAATCAGCTCCTTCTCATCCAATGCTCCCGGGAGGTCTCGCTTGTTACCCAGGACTAAGACCTACGGAGAAGGGAGGGTGAGGATGAGGTCTAGGGCAGCTGTGCCCAGGTTGTCTGGGTGGTGAGCTGGCCTCCTGAGCCCGTTTCCTCTCTGCGTCCCTCACCCAGGCTGGAGTGCAGTGGCAAGATCTTGGCTCACTGCAACCTCCACCTCCCAGGTTCAAGCAATGCTCTGCCTTAGCCTCCTGGGTAGCTGGGATTATAGGCACTTGCCACGGGGGTCTCACCATCTTGGCCAGGGTGGTCTTGAACTGCTGACCTTGTGATCCATCCACCTCAGCCTCCCAAAGTGCTTACAGGCATGAGCCATCACACCTGGCCGCCATGCTTGATTTTTCCCTGCCCCCAGTGACTACCCAGCCGGTCTCCCTCCCCATCCCGCTCCCTCAGGTCCGCTGACCGGGATGCCTTGCAGCTGAGGTTTGTCCAGGAGGTTGTGAAGCTCGTTCTTAGAGGCCTCAATCTTCTCCTGGTCAGCAGCATCCACCATGTACCTGGAGACAAAGGCAGGGTGGGGACAAGCATGTTGACATCACAGGCCGAGGTCGTGCAAGGAAGAGAAGGAGCTGCTGCTTGGAGGTGAGAGCCTCTGTGGCAGCTTGTCACCTTGGGACCCACGGGCTACCTTGCTTGGCTCAAGGCAGGTACTCCGAGGATGTTTCTGAATCTATGGGAGCAAAGAGCTGCAGGGATTCCTGGGGCCTGCCATTAGCTTCCAAGTGCTACTCTGGGGAAGCCGTTACTCATGTGGAAAAGCGTGGGCCCTTTAGGATTAGCTATAAATCCCTCTCAAAGTGACCCACTTATGTTTTCATGGAAAGACTAAATAAGGTTAGAGTGAAAAAAAGCAAAGGAAAATCCAGAATATTTTGTTTAGCAAGATACTTTTTGTTATCAGGTTAAAAAGTAACTTACTGTTTATTCTGAAGAATCTATTGTTTGAGCATATATATATATATCTCATAAATTATTATTATTATTTTGAGGCAGTGTCTCACTCTGTCACCCAGGCTGGAGTGCAGTGGGGTGATCTCAGCTCACTGCAACCTCTGCCTCCAGGGTTCAAGTGATTCTCCTGCCTCAGCCTCCTGAGTAGCTGGGATTATAGGCACTCACCACCACCCCTGGCTAATTTTTGTATTTTTAGTAGAGACGGGGGTCAGGCTGGTTTCGAACTCCTGACCTCGTGATCCACCCGCCTTGGCCTCCTAAAGTGCTGGGATTACACGCATGAGCCACCACGCCCGGCCTCTTATTATTATTTTTTGAGGCAAGTTCTCACTCTGTCACCCAGGCTGAAGTGCAGTGGTGGGATTACAGCTCACTGTAGCCTCGACTTCCTGGACTCAAGAGACTCTCCCACTTCAGTTGTCTGAGTAGCGGGGACTACAGGTGCGTGCCACCAGGCCCAGCTAATTTTTGTACTTTTGTAGAGATAAAGTTTTGCCATGTTACCCAGGTTGGTTTTGAACTCCTGACCTCAAGTGATCTGTTTGCCTTGGCCTCCCACTGTGCCCCACCATTTTTCAATGTTTAAAATTTATTTTATTTTTTTAAAGACAGGATCTTGCTATGTTGCCTAGGCTGGCCTTAAACTCCTGGGCTCAAGCAATCCTCCTGCCTCAGCCTCCCAAGTAGCTGGGACTACAGGTGTGTGGCACCATGCTCAGCCAAAAAGCGTTATTTTTAAAAAGCAAGAGAATGAAACATTTAAACCACACAAAATTCCAGACAGTGGTGACTTTGGGTTGGGGGAGTCAATGAAGAGGACGCACAGGTGCATCTGGCTGGTTGCTAGTCTGCTTCTTAGATTGGGTAGTGAGTGCCCAGGGCAATTGTCCACTAAGAAACAAGCAGCATGCAAAATAAAGGCAGGCCATGCACCGACACTGTGTCATGAACCGAGAATCACGTCTAACACAGCCCTGCGCCTCGGAGATCCTTGAAGGAAGCAGGGCTGGGAGAGCCAGGTCAGCCTAGAGACCAGCGCCGCCTCCCACATACTTACACGATGGCGCTCACTCCTCGGCAGTAGCGTTCCCACATGCTGCGGAAGCGCGGCTGTCCCCCAATGTCCCAGAGCTGAGCAATAAGAGGGTGACATAGCCTCAGTAGTGGGCAGGCCACGACAACCTGTCTTGGGTCCCAAATGTCCCCTCCTATCCTGCCCTACTCTCCTCTGCCTCCCCCGCTTTCTCTTCAGTTCTCCCCTGGAAAGAGTTCACAGCTGTCTTTTCCCAGCTCCTCAGCAGGGAGACCCTGGCCTCTGCCCTCCTTTAGCTCACTCCTCCCAGGGGCCTTGGCTGCCTCCCCCAACACACACAGAGTCCTCTGCACCCTCCCACCCCTGCCCAGCCTCTGGGCTCTCACCTTGATGGTCACATTCCCTTTGGTGATTTTGCGCATGTTGAAACCCACAGTGGGGATCATGTCCTCGTTGAACTGTCCTGACTGGAAAGAAGACTCAGAATGGGAAACGGTGCAAAAATCCACAGGCTCCAGCCGCAGGCCAGGAGGCTGCGGGAACCGTGCGGACGCCAGGCCGGAGCTTCTGAGACTTCCCACCGTGGGATACTCTTGCACGTCCCTTGCTTTCAGGCAGGACTGGCCGTAGCCAACCTACGTGTCCCACCTACACCTGGGGATGCCCTGCGAAGAGCCTGCTTTTATCAGTCTCCATCTCTCTGCCTAGATGGGGGAACGTTCTTCCTCAAGTCTAACCTCCATCACTCTGTAGTGACTGACGCCACTTTCTCTCCAGTGGAGAGGAAGAAGAAATTGTACGGTCTTTTAGGCTGACTGATGGCACCATGGATGCTATGACGACCGCCGTGACCCTCACGTACACCTCTGGAGGGCCTTCCAGAGTTAGAAAACCCGAGGTAACTGGAAGATCCTGAAAAGCAGAACAATCAACCCCTGCTAACTTGAGACATTCTTCTGCTGTTTCTTATTCCGGCCCCAATTGATAAGGCCATTGGACTTTGTAATCAACCTTGGTCAACCTCGTGACTCCAGACCCTACGACCCCCTCCCAGCTTGCAAAAAAAACCACCCTAAACTATAACTTCTGTAACTTTCCACTGCTTACCCCAGCCTACAAAACCCAGTCCTATCCCACCGCCCTCCTCGGACTTTCTTTTAGGACTCGGCCCACCCACAGCCGGGTGAATAACAGCCACGTTGCTCACACAATGCCTGTTTGGGGGGGGTCTCTTCATTCAGAGCATGTGTTTTAACAGAAATTACCTCCCAGGAAGAGAACTCCAAGAATGTCGTGTTCTAATAGTTAAGGAGGATCTCAAAGAAAGCAGACATATTTTCAAACTAAAGAGTCAAACTTGGGGCAGAGTAATTGGCCATCCCTCAAAATGGCCAATTTTGAGGGATGCCAAGCAATTCCTGGATTCTCCACAGTTTGGTTTACTTGTACCGCACTGCCATTGTGGGGAAGGATAACCCACACTCTATATTGCCTGCTTACTTACGTACATGTCTCCTCACTAGAAGGAACATTTCAGGGGGAATCTATAGTAACAGCATTAGTAAATGTTTGCTGAATACAGAGGGGTGGGGGCCTGACTGTAACTCCATCCCCCAAAACCCATTCTATATTGTCTCTAAGATCTCTGGATTCTTCTAAATGAGCTACAGGCTTCAAATGAGACCAGACCCAACTCCCTCCCAGTCCCTATCTCCGTGTTCACAGGTAGGACACTTCTGCTTATCCCCTGGAAGCAGGCTAAAGAGATGGGGCTCACTCAACTTTGAACCTGAAGGTGACAGCCCTGTTCCTTTTTTTTGAGATAGAGTCTTGCTCTGTCGCCCAGGCTGGAGTGCAATGGGGCGATCTCAGCTCACTGCAGCCTCCATCTCCCGGGCTCAAGCCTCCATCTCCTGCCTCAGCCTCCCAAGTAGCTGAGACCACAGGCATGTGCCACCACAGCCAGCTAATTTTTGTATTTTTAGTAGAGACAGGGTTTCACCATTTTGGCCACGATGGTCTCGAACTCCTAATCTGCCTGCCTGGGCCTCCCAAAGTGCTAGGATTACAGGAGTGAACCATGGTGCTCAGCCAAGCCCTGTTCCTTTACCATCCTCCCCACAACCTGGCTTTTTTTTTTTTTTTTTTTTTTGAGATAGAGTCTTACTATGTAACCTAGGATGGAGTGCAATGGCACGATCTTGGCTCACTGCAACCTCTGCCTCCCAGGCTCAAGCGATTCTCCCCCCTCAGCTTCCCAAGTAGCTGGGATTACAGGCACCTGCCATCATGACTGGCTAATTTTTGTATTTTTAGGTGAGATGGGATTTCACCATGTTGACCAGGCTGGTCTCGAACTCCTGACCTCAGGTGATACACCCACCTTGGCCTCCCAAAGTGCTGGGATTACAGGCATGAGCCACCGTGCCCGGCTACAATGCCTTTTTCTCCCACCAGCTGGCAGGAATACTTTGCCTTGGGTTACATAAAGAGATCAGGGGCTCTGACCATTAGCCAAGGCGTAGGAGATGATCGACTCTTATTTGGTGCCTCCAAGTCCACATGAAGACTCCTGATGTCCCATCTGAATAGCGCTTGGATTCCCATGTATCTGCAGAAACCGCCCATTCATCAGGGCCCTAGGATGATGTAAGAATTGACTGACACCCAGGGACAAGGTAGAGCAGCGGTTTCCAACCTGAGGTCCACAGTTGGGCTTCAGAGATTCCCTGAATTCCCTGAAATTGTACACAATCTGTGTGTGCAAAGTTTTGTTTGTATGTATGTTTTTCTGGAGAAAGGGTCTCTAACTTCTCTCAGATATCAGAAAGGTCTGAGAGCCCCCAAAGATAGGAACCACTGAGGAAGAGGGAGTGGCTTCTCCTGGCTAAGCAGGGAGAATTAATTGTGCTGGGATTACCCAGACCCCAGCAGCAGGCTGCAGTCTACCCCATCCTCATCCCTGCTGGTTAAGAACATCGAGTGCGAGGAAGGAGGCCCCGTTCTTGTTTATCACTCATGCCGGGGGAGCTTGGACAAGAAACTTGAACTTTTCTGGGCCTCAGGGTTTCTGAATGTAAAATTGGGGAGAAGGGTTTCGGTCTCCTAGGAACTGTAACTGACTCACAAAGTGCTTGGAAATGGTTTCGACGTAGCACGGGGAACCATCACTGCTCTTTGGCAACTAGAAGATTCACAGGCTACCAAGTAAATGAGAAGCCCAGCCTGGCAGAATGTGATGCTGGCAGAGGGGGTGCTGGGAGGCTCCCCAGCACCAGTAGGTCCTGCTCAGCTGTGAATCGGAGCTGAGATGGAATCAGATTATGACTTAATTTCCCTACTAACGCCTCCCTGTCGTGAGAGCTCCTCATTGAAGGTTGGAAGTAACCTCAAGTCATGCAGCCCAACCTCTTGTCTCAGACTTGAATCCCTTCTGCCCCATTCCCTCTTCGGTCAGTTCCAACTCTCAGAAAATTCATTATATTGAGTTAAAAATCTGGTGAGGCATGGTGGCTCATACCTGTAATTTCAGCACTTTGGGAGGCCAAGGAGGGCAGATCACCTGAGGTCAGGAGTTCGAGACCAGCCTGGCCAACATGACAAAGCCCCATCTCTCCTAAAAATACAAAAATTAGCTGGGTTTGGTGGCATATGCCTGTAATCCTAGCTACTTGGGAGGCTGAGGCAGGAGAATCGCTTGAGCCTGGGAGGTGGAGGTTGCAGTGAGCTGACGTCGCGCCACTGCAATCCAGCCTGAGAGATAGAGTGAGACTCCATCTCAAAAAAAAAAAAAAAAAAATTCATCATTCCTAGAATGTCCACCCATTGTTCCTGAGTCCCCTTGGGCACTCCAAGACTAGTTATTTCACAGGACAGTCTTTGAGACTTTTAAATATTTGAAAATGACCCTATTGTTTCCCTAGGACAAAACATGTCTCACTTTTCTAGCATCACAACTTTTTCAGAGCTCAAATGATGTTTTGGGTTCTTTTTTTTTTTTGAGATGGAGTTTCGCTCTTATTGCTCAGGCTGGAGTGCAGTGGTGGCGCCATCTCAGCTCACTGTAGCCTCTGCCTCCTGAGTTCAAGCGATTCTCCTGCCTCGGCCTCTCAAGTAGCTGGGATTACAGGCAGCCGCCACCGTGCCAGGCTAATTTTTGTATTTTTAGTAGAGACGAGGTTTTGCCATGTTGGCCAGGCTGGTCTCAAACTCCTACCCTCAGGTGATCCGCCCGCCTTGGCCTCCCAAAGTGCTGGGATTACAGGCATGAGCTACAGTGCCTGGTGATGTTTTAGGTTCTTAGAAGCATTGTATATAATTTCTTTCTTTTTTTTTTTTTTTGAGACGGAGTTTTGCTGTTGTTACCCAGACTGGAGTGCAATGGCACGATCTCGGCTCACCGCAACCTCTGCCTTCTGGGTTCAAGCAATTCTCCTGCCTTAGCCTCCTGAGTAGCTGGGACTACAGGCGCGCACCACCATGCCCATCTAGTTTTGGTATTTTTAGCAGAGACGGGGTTTCACCTTGTTGACAAGGATGGTCTCGATCTCTTGACCTCGTGATCCACCCACCTCGGCCTCCCAAAGTGCTGGGATTATAGGCGTGAGCCACCGCGCCCGGCCTTGTATATAATTTCTTTCCAGTTCACATTAACCTGCTGAGCAGCTAGACACACTAAACTCAATTTCTATTTACAGTCAGACCTCATAGAGTGAGTAGAAAAAACCCAATGAAGAAAGATCTGAGACAAACAGAGGCCAAATGAACAGGCAAAGGTAATTCAGAAATTCAGTGGTAGGCATGGGAACAGAGCCCAGGGGTCCCAACTGTGGGTTTCTTTCTGGAAGACACTCAACTGTGATTCTACTCAGGGTGGGCAGGAATGCCAGTGTGGCAGTCCCAGAGGATCTGAAAACACTGGATGGACCGGGACACTGGAATTCCAACTGCAGCCCACATGGGGTGGTTTTCCTTGGGAAGCCTCTTTAAAGAAGAGAATTTAGCTTGTCTGCTCTTTTAGAATGTACCAGCAGAAGTGGCAAATTTAACATAAAAAAGGGGAACATGTGGGCTGGAGATGGGGGACTTTTCCTGTACATCACAGAAACTCTTGTCTCTGGCAGGGGAATTTGGGACTCTTAGGTTCTGTTTCTGGCCTGCTATAGTCTCCAACTCTCTGGATATGAGGCTGGTCTAGAGGGGCAGACCCAGAAACCGAACCCACCTGGGTACCTGTGGGTCCCTGTCTCAGAGCACAGTGTAATAACACCCCGGGGAACGAGGAGGTACCTAGGCCCCGCTGCCTTTCCCCGACCTAAACGCCTAGAAGCCGAGCCACCCAGGCCCGCAGATTCAGGTGGGAGTACAGGTATTGTGTGCCTGCTCTGGGAACCCAAAAGCCATAGTCGATGCCAAGTTTAACCAGAGGGTCTCTGACCTCAAGGGCAGAGCCTGGGTAGACAGAGCCCAGGAGCACTAGCTCCGGAAACCATTGTGCCAAAACCGCAGCATTGGCTCGAAGACGCTGCCCTGTTAGGCCGGGAACCAGGAGATGCTGGGCTGAGGAAGGGCAGAGGTCATTGGCAGAGCACGTTTGGGAAAGGAAGCCAGAGCTCAATTGTACAACTATGGGGTGCCTGCCCCTGGAGCCTTCCATCTGCCTTCATGCCTCAGGTCCAGTGAAGTGAGATGCTAAGACCTGTCCAGAGGCCCATCTTCTGCAAGGCAGGGCAACAACACGGGCAGCTGGGTTACCTCGGCGGGCGGGACACAGTTCTCTGCTGACCTCTCTTATCAGTATCTCTGGTTATTATCTGGCCAATTCACAGTTGTTGGCAACCTCAGCTTTGGGACTGGGGCCAGGTCCCTGGACAACCCCAGCCCCTATCCCATGCTTCTTCAACCCACAAGCCCTGTCTAGCCTGGCTCTGACAGGCAGGCCGCAGCCATTACTGCAGCCTCAGCTCACACCCATGGAGCTCATCTTCCCCTTTTTTTGAGAGAGATTTTAACTCCTTCCCAACCACTCGCCTGGCACTGAAAGACTCGTACAATCACCCACTTGAGTGTTGACTACCCACGGCCCTTCGAGCCACTCCCCGGGCCCCAGCGGGCAGTGCCCCTGCACCCCATCCTCTCTTGTCGGGAGCACCTCCTCCCGCAACTTCGGAGCAGGACGGAGTCTCCAAACTCCCGTTACCATGGCATCCTCCCTGGACCCCCGATAGACACTGCGGGTCGGAGAGAGGTTGAGGAGGACTCTGGGCTGCAGCCAAGGGCCTCAGCTGACTCCTCTACCCCCGGGGATACCTCCCTTCCCCCTCAATAGGCCAGGGGCTTCCTCTTCCGGCAAGGAGGGGTTAAGCCCTCTGGGTGGGGCTGGGCTTGCCCCGGACCCCTTCCCAAGCCACTCGGCCTACCCTTGACTCTCTGCCCGCGGGACAGGAAGGCCCCGGCACTTTCGCCCCGTCATGTCCCAGTGCGCGGGGGCTAGAGGGGGCCCGCCTCAGCCGGCGGCTGGTCCCTCTTGCCTCGACAGCCCCTCGGTGCCGCCTGCCCCGTGGCATCGGCCCTGTCGGTTCGCCCCCCTTCCCCTGCCCCCAGCCGTGCAGTACCCGCCCGAGTGGAAGAGCGGGTCGCGCGCCGCCGGGTCCCCCACTGCGCGGGCCGTACTAGGCCCCAAGCGCTCGGGGCCGGCTCCTCCCCCGCCCGGCGCCCGGCCGTGCCCGGCCATGCCAGGCGGCGACCCCGGCTCAGCAGGGCGCGGCGCGGGCGGAGACAGGCCCGACCCGCGGCCCGAGCCCAGGGACTCCGCGCCCGGCGCCCTCGTACCGCGATCACGTTGACGAAGGTGGTCTTGCCCGAGTACTGAAGCCCGACCAGCGTGAGCTCCATCTCCTCCTTCCAGAACAGGGCCTTGAACCAGTCCAGCAGCTTGTTGAACAAAGCGATCATGGTCGCTGCCGCCGGCCCCGCCCGGTGCCGGGTCCCCGCCGCCCCTCGCTGCCCTCGCGCTGCGGCCCGGAGCGGCCCCTCCCCAGTACGTCCCGGGTCCCGCGGCTCGGTGCGGGCGGAGGCTCGAGCGCGGCGGCGGAGGACTCGCTGCCCCGGAATCGGCTCGCCGATGGGTGTGGCTTCAGCGCCCTCCTCCTCCGTCGCCGCCGCCGCCCTCCCGCGCGGTCCGGCCGTGTCCTGCTCGCACCCGAGCGCGCGCTCCTCCCCCGCCAGAGCTGGGGGCCAGGGGCCGCACCCGCAGGTGGGGTGGGCGGGGAACCTGCAGCTTCACCGGCGGGGGTTGACTGGCAGCTGGCGTCGAAGGGCGCTTGGGGAGTGGGGTCTAATTTATTTCTCTCCTGTCCCTGGCTGCAGCGACCGGACTGACACCCCCTTTCTTAAAGGGTGGTGGGCTCGAGGTGGGTGAGGTCCCAGTTAAGCAGGAGCCTTTTCAGGTTGAAGGAGGGTGGGTCACCCACTTTCCAGGACACGAAGATGAGATCCCTACGACAGGGACGCAAATGGAGGGTTTTTTGTCCCTGAACCTTGCCTCTGAGCATCCCTGGGTACAGTCCCATCCTCTCAAATGCACCCAGTGCTGAGAGACAACCGTATTTGGGTCTTTTCCTACTCCATCTTGTTTTGTTCATCACAATTTACCCTGACCACTTGTTAGGAAGCCTCTGACCCCGAGTGAAACGGACGCTTGAACTTGATCCCGATTTTTACCAGCATCCCCAAGATCCGGAAACAGATACAGTCCTGCGGTGGGGGCGGTTTCCAGTGAGGAACATCTGTGACAAAGGAACATGTTGGCCTGTTTTGGTGACAAGCAGAGTATTCTTCAGGAGAAGTGATAGTGGGTGTGGAGTGCCTGAAAAGATGCCCCCCTCCCGCCACCCTCCTTGCAGGACCCACCCAAAAGGTCTGCGCAGGCCGGCTGACAACCCCAGCTGGCCGTCCCTGTAGGCCCAGGCTTCTGGCAGTCCCCAGCCTATGCTGGCTGCCTGTTGGGATTTGGTTTCCGAATGTAGTCACATGTAGTCTATAGTCAAAAGTGGGTAAAGTATCAGTATCAATCATATCTGTCCAATCAACCCGAGTTAGATGACCCCAAATAGTCAAAGTTACCAAAGCAGAAGAATCAAAAGGTCTTGGGCTAGCATAATATTCTTGGGGTTTTTTAGACAAGGTTTCACTGTGTCACCCAGGCTGCAGTGCAGTGGCGCAATCTCAACTCACTGTGACCTCCACCTCCTCGGGATGAGGTGATTCTCCCACCTCAGCCTCCTGAGTAGCTGGGGGACTACAGGTATGTGCCGCCATGCCCGCCTAATTTTTGTATATTTTGTAGAGACGGGGTATTGCCATGTTGTCCAGGCTGGTTTCGAAGCCCTGAGCTCAAGCAATCTGTCTGCCTCACCCTCCCAAAGTGCTGGGATTACAGGCGTGAGCCACAGCCCCCCACCAATATTCTGGTTTATTAATCACCATCTTTCCAACCTCTGTCTTTTATAAGGCCCTCTCCAGCTCCTAAGATAAAGGCTATTGGGCTGAATGTTTGTGCCCCCAAAATTCATAGGTTGAAGTCCTAGTCCCTAAGGTGATGGTACTGGGAGGTGATGAAGTCATGAGGGTAGAGCCTTATCAAAGGGGCCAGTGAAGTTGGGGGGAAGAACACCAGCCCACAACCTTTTCACCATTCAAGGACAGAAAGAAGGCTCTGCCTAGGAACCAGACACGTCTTCAAGGGCCTGGATCCCAGACTTCCCAGCCTCCAGAACTGTGAGCAATACATTTCTGTTGTTTAGAAGCCTCCTGGTTTATGGTAGTGTGAATTGTTACATCTGCCTGAGTAGACTATGACGTCTGCTGCTGTCTCACTTTCTAAATTGACTTTGGTTTCACCTTATTGTATGTCCTTGGAAGTACTAGAAAAGTGCATATCCCAAGGGCAAAGATTTGTAGCCTGCCTGTCCCTGGTTTGCAGAGTCTTTCGCTCTCTCCTGCTACAAAGAGGCCCCAGAGGCCCGAGAAGAAGATGGAAAGAAGGAATGAGTCAGTCATCCAAGAATTCTTTATTTTCCCACTTGGTTACTGTTCTGGAGCTTGTACCCTCTGAGCTCTGAGGGGGTTGGGGTGACAGTGCCAGGGAGGGCCTGTGGGGCTATGCTATTGCTTCCCTACAGGCTGGCTCTGAGCCCAGGAGAGGATCAGGCACTTGAGAGCCCCCCACCTCGCCTCATTGGCATAGAGTTGTGCCTCTCACAGGGCTCAGGGGAGGTGGAGGTGCGGGCGAGTCCACCCCAGGCCTGTAAGGAAGGAGGAGCTCCTCCGTAAGGCCAAGCAGAAGCATTAGGGAAATCATCCTCAGTTTCAGCACTGCATGTTCTTCAGGAGAGAAGTCCTGAGTGAGGAAGCCCAGCTGTTCTCCAGATCTAGCTCCTACGGTTTCCACAGAGAACTGGTAGCAACCAAGGCAGCTCTCAGGGGCGGCATGCGGGTGATGCGGCATCTCACCTTCATCCCCATCTCAGGATGGGCAGCCAGTGTCAGATTCAAGGAGGACGAATCCTGAGGTGTGGAGTTCAGTCCTGAGATAGACCTGAGGTGCCCTGGAAATTGTTGATGCCGAGATGGATGAGGGGCGTTAGTTCTCTGGGGTAGATGGTGAGGGGTCCCGATTCCGTCCAGCCTCCATGTTTGCATGGATGGTTATGACCCTGATTGTTTTTGGAAACAACCAAGCTCTCCAGGTGTATTCAGCAAATGCAGGGTAGAGAGGGCCATGGCCCACCGTGGTTGGTTTTCTAAAACCAGACTGAGCACTTTGCCTCCTCTTCTCCCCTTGCCTCCTTTCTTTTCTTTCTTTTGAGATGGAGTTTCGCTCTTGTCACCCAGGCTGGAGTGCAGTGGTGCAATCTCAGCTCACTGCAAATTCCGCCTCCCGGTTTCAAGTGATTCTCCTGCCTCAGCCTCCTGAGTAGCTGGGATTACAGGCACTTACCACCACACCAGGCTAATTTTTTGTAATTACCTGACCTCAGGTGATCTGCCCGCCTTGGCCTCCCAAAGTGCTGGGATTACAGGCGTGAGCCACTGCACCCGGCTCCCCTTTCTTTTGCCTTCCTGCATACCCAGGGTATTATCTGAGCCATAGAAGCAGAACAGAGACTGCTGAGAGCCTCCCTAAGAGTAGTTGGCGGGAGTGGCCAGCAACCACAGAGGCAGGAGCAGCCCTCTTTGCCTCTGAGTAGCCTCGCATGTTCCCTCTTCCAGATTTCAACTGCCAGGCCTGGTCACCTCTGTAGCCTACTCTCAGGACACATGGGTGGAGGCAAGGGCAACCTCAGTCCTTGTTTTTACTTTTGATCGTGGTTGTCCAGCCCTTCTGATGTGTGGTCAGGGAGCAGAGTCACTGCTAGGATGTTGAAACTTGGAGATCAGGACCAGACTTTTCCCCACTCTCGCATCTGGCCTGTGCTCGGGCAGGGCCTCAGGTGAAGGATGATCTTGGAATCACCCTTTTGTCAGCCCCAGGAAGGGGATACAGCTGCAGTGGCTTCTAGAAACTTCTCTTACTTCTTTTCCCTTATGGCAGCTAAGCACTTAATGTTCATGTTATAGAAGAGGAAACTAAAGCTCACAAAGAGTGTCGTAGAGAAGACCAGGACACCTGGGCTTCCTGTCTTTAAGTTCAGAGAGACATTGGAGGTTCCCCCTACTGTCCATCCGGGGCCAACAGAGGAAGCAGAGGAGTGGCCAGTGGTGAAGACTGGAATCTGGCCCCTTGTCCTTGCTGATGTGCTTTCTGTGACTGCAAGCGCCACTGAGGAGGCACTTCTTTCCCACACTCACCCATAAGGTACTCCCGGATCACTCGGCCCACTTTCCCCAGACCCACCTTCCCAGGCTTGAGGGAGGTGGGCACCTGGGCCATTAGAGGGTGGCAGGGGTCAGGGGCTGGGTTCCTCGGGCAGCTGGCCTGCATACAGGGCCAAAGTGTGGTGCAGGAACTGGTACTGCTCTGCCGTCTGGATCATCCCCCCTCTGCAAGGAGAAACACACAGACCATAAGTGAAGGAGGGTCAGGGTGCTAGCTGAACAGCTCCAGCCAAACATCCTCGTGGTCCTACTGGGAAAGTCCCGACTTTCTCAAAGAACACGCCAACACCTCTACCTATATTCATATTTCCTTTCCTTTTCTTTTTTTGAGATGAAGTCTCACTCTGTTGCCCAGGCTGGAGTGCAGTGATATGATCTCAGCTCACTGCAACCTCCACCTCCCAGGTTCAAGTGATTCTCCTGCCTCAATCTCCTGAGTAGCTGGGATTACAGGCATGTGCCACCATGCCCAGCTAATTTTTCTGTTTTTAGTAGAGATGCAGTTTCACCATGTTGCCCAGGTCACTTGAACTCCTGACCTCAAGTGATCTGCCTGTCTCAGGCTCCCAAAGTGCTGGGATTACAGACATGAGCAACCTATATTCATCTTTTCTACTTGCTACTCCTCCTTGCTGCCCCCCAGATCTGCTTTGAGAGAAGTCCTCTGCCCCTTACACGTGGCTTGGTGTGCTGAGGGTGATGCCCCATGTTGATACTTGGTCTTCCCTAATCCACTCAGCTCCTGGGACAAAACCAGACCTCTGAAGCCTTGGGGGTCAGGCCAGGAATACTCCTGAGCCTCAAGTTTCCTTCTTTTTTTTTTTTTGAGATGGAGTTTTGCTCTTGTTGCCCAGGCTGGAATGCAATGGCATGATTTCGACTCACTGCAACCTCTGCCTCTCGGGTTCAAGTGATTCTCCTGTCTCAGCCACCCAAGTAGCTGGGATTACAGGCATGTGCCACCATGTCTGGCTAATTTTTTGTATTTTTAGTAGAGAAAGGGTTTCTCCACGTTGGTCAGGCTGGTTTCAAACTCCTGACCTCAGGTGATCCGCCTGCCTCTGCCTCCCAAAGTGCTGGGATTACAGGTGTGAGCCACTGCACCCAGCAACTTTATTCATCTTTGCTTTCTTTCTTTCTTTTTTTTTTTCAGATGGAGTCTCACTCTGTCACCAGGCTGGGGTGCAGTGGCGTGATGTTGGCTCACTACAACCTCCACCTCCCAGGTTAAAGGGAATCTCCTATCTCAGCCTCCTGAGTAGCTAGGATTACAGGTGCATGCCACCATAACCAGCTAATTTTTGTATTTTTAGTGGAGACGGTGTTTCACCATGTTGGACAGGCTGGTCTCGAACTCCTGACCTCGTGATCTGCCTGCCTGAACCTCCCAAAGTGCTGGGACTACAGGCATGAGCCACCGCACCCAGCAAGTTTCTTTCTTTCCAATAATCTTAAAAGTAAAAATAATGATTTTACACATTTGTACAGTAGTTTTCATTTCCAAAACACTTTCATATAAGTTAATTCATTTCTTACAACAGTTCTCTGGGGGAAGGAGCCATTATCTCTCTCTAGATAAAGTAGGGGCCAGGCACAGTGGCTTAAGCTTGTAATCCCAGCACTTTGTGAAGCCAAGGGGGCATTATTGAGCTCAGGAGTTCAAGACTAGTCTGGGCAGCATAGTAAGACCCCATCTCTATTATTAAAAAAAAGAAGAAGAAAGAAAGAAAGAAAAAGAAATGGGGGCTCAGAGAAATCTAGTGACATCTCAGTGAGACAGAAGTCCGAATCTGAATACTGGCTCTGTCTCCGCCTAGTGAGCTGACATCTCAGTGAGACAGAAGTCCGAATCTGAATACTGGCTCTGTCTCCACCTAGTGAGCTTCTTTGCACTACTTGCTGCTGCCTCATATCTTGGATTAAACACACCCCACGTGCTAACTTTCCTCTGAGTAGGGAACTTGGGGGTAAGATTGAATGCCCAGGGTAAGTCCATAGAGTTTTTTTCTTTGAGTCTCTCTCTGTTGCCCAGGCTGGAGTACAATGGCATAAGCTTGGCTCACTGCAACCATCACCTCCTGGGTTCGAGCGACTGTCCTGCCTCAGCCTCTCAAGTAGCTGGGATTACAGGTGCCCACCACCACATCCAGCTAGTTTTTGTATTCTTAGTAGAGATGGAATTTCACCATGTTGGCTAGGCTGGTCTTGAACTCCTGAGCTCAGGTGATCCACCTGCCTCAGCCTCTCAAAGTGCTGGATTACAGGCATGAGCCACCATGCCCAGCCATCCAGATAGATATTTTTTCCTGGTTGCTAGCTGCAAAATAAACAGCTCTAAGCAGAAAGAGTTTCTTCCTTTCTTGCAGGAGTGGTTGATGGTGATGGGGTTGAGCAGGGCTCTGGGGCCCAGAGGCACTGAGGCCCCCTATTAACGTTGCTGGCCTTGTTTACATCCACAGACCCACCTGTCTAGCCGCAGTTGGCACACAATGCCCAGAATGTCCACTTCCCCTCGGGCCTTCAGCTGTTGACAGCCAATTCGTGTGGCGATGAAGCAGCCCGTCCGGCCAATCCCTGCACTGGATATAGCCAGGGAGGAGATAGAGAGGTCAAGGGAGACAGGGAATATGGGAGCCAGGGCCCCAAACTACGGAGAAGGAAATGGGACCTGCAAGTACTGTGTTTTGGGGATAGGGCTCTGGAGATGGGGGAAGGTAGCAGTACTCCAGATTCCAGTCCCCCTGGGGACCCTGCTGGAGGCAGGTTGTAACTGGCCTGGGAGGAGCTTACATTTCTTACCTGCCTCACTGTAAGCCTGTCCTAACAGGGGCACCTCCTGGTCCCTGTGGACGTTTTGACGATTTCCCTTCTGCTGAGAGGCTACAGCGGTTTCCAATGGACAGTTCCCCACTTGTGAACGTGCTGAGCCTCGAGCCCTCCTTATCTAACCTTGACTTCGTCTCAGCTCAGACTTATCTTTTTTTTTTAGATGGAGTCTTTGTCTGTCACCCTGGCTAGAGTGCAGTGGTGTGATCTTGGCTAACTGCAACCTCCACCTCCCTGGTTCAATCAATTCCCCTGCCTCAGCCTCCCTAGTAGCTGGGATTACAGGCGCTTGCCACCACACCTGGCTAACTTTTTTGCATTTTTAGTGGACAGGGTTTCACCATGTTGGTCAGGCTGGCCTCTAGCTCCTGACCTTGTGGTCCGCCCACCTCAGCCTCTCAAAATGTTGGGATTACAGGCATGAGCCACAGCCCCCGGCCACCTCAGACTCATCTTTCATGTAGCCCACGCCCAGCCCCTCTGTTTCCCACCTCGGTGCCCTCCCACAGTCTTCTCTCTGCTCTACTCTCCTCCACCATGCCCTCTCTTTATTTTGAAATAAAGAGGCTCCCAGGGCTCCCCTTCCTCTTGCGTGAGTCCCTAATGAACTCCCAGCACATCTCAGTGCTGCCTGTAGGTGGGCTGGGAGGCCCCTCTGTGGTGCTTGTGCCTCTGTGCTCTGTTTTCTTTAGGATATGCACTTCCAAATGCTCTCTTTAGTCTTGTCCCCCACGACACCCTCTCACTTAACCCCAATCCCTTTTTCACACTGTAGCCAAAGTGTTCTTTTAAAATAGCACATCCAAGCATCTTAGCCAGTCCTACAAGGCTCCTTAACATCTAACCTTCACTGGCCTTCCAAATCCATCTCTCATCATTACCCCACACATAACCTCTGGACCCAGCCCATAATCCTGCCCTCAGCAGTTATCCATTTTCACATTTCTTCCCTGGGCCTTAGCATACGCTGTTCCACCACCTAGAACGTGTTCCCTTCCCTCTCTTCACTTGGCTAATTCACCTTTCAGGTCTTAGCTTGGCTTAGATGGCCTTTCTCTTGCAAAACTTCCTTTGGTCAAAGTCTCTCTTAGCCATAATATCCCCATCATGGCTTTCATCACATTTCATACCATACATTGTGTGGTATTTAATTGTTTAATCTGCCTTCTTTTTGTTTTTCAGATGGAGTCTTGCTCTGTTGCTCAGGCTGGAGTACAGTAGTGTGATCTCAGTTCACTGCAAACTCCACCTCCCAGATTCAAGCGATTCTCCTGCCTCAGCCTCCCAAGTAGCCGGTATTACAGGCATGTGCCACCACGCTTGGCTAATTTTTGTATTTTTAGTAGATACGGGGTTTCACCATGTTGGCCAGGCTGGTCTCGAACTCCTGACCTCAGGTGATCCACCCGCCTCTGCCTCCCTGGAGCTGGGATTACAGGCGTGAGCCACTGCGCCTGGCCTAATCCGGTTTCTTTCTCACCAGCCTGTAAACCTGTCTGGGAAGAAAGTAAACTGCTTTGTTCACAGCTGTCTCTTTAGCATCTAACACTGTGCCTGACAATAATAGGTTTTCTTTTCTTTTCTTTTCTTTTTTTTTTTTTTTTTGAGATGAAGTCTCGCTTTGTCACCCAGGCTGGAGTGCAGGGGCGTGATCTCTGCTCACCTCTACCTCCAAGGTTCAACCTCTGCCTCCAGGGTTCAAGCAATTCTCTTGTCTCAGCCTCCTAAATAGCTGGGATTACAAGTGTGCACAACCAAGTGTGGCTAATTTTTATATATTTTAGTAGAGATGGGATTTCACCATGTTGGCCAGGCTGGTCTCAAACTGCTAATCTCAAGTGATCTGCCTGTCTCAGCCTCTCAAAGTACTGGGATAATAGGTGTGAGCCACCAGGCCTGGCTAATAATAGGTTTTTAATACATGTTCATTGAATGAGTAAATGAATTCCCCAACAGCTGGAATCCTGTTTATGTCCTCCTGCAGCTGACTGGGACCTTCCTGATATTCCATCCCCCCTGTGGATGGGGCCTGGGTGTCCAGCCCAGATGTCTGGGTGCTGCATGAAGGAGGTGAAGAGAATAGAGCCCTTGCTGAATGGCCTTGCGAGTCATGTCCAAGTGAGAACTAGGCTTGTCTGATGCTTTTCTGCTCAGACCCTTCCCCAGGAGAGACCCAGGGGCCAGGGGAGGGGCGCGCAGTACCCAGGCTGCAGTGGGAGGGAGGCCACGCACCTGCAGTGAACCACGATGGGCCCGGGGTGGGCGGCTGCCTCGGGGCTCTCCTCCACCTCTGCCACTAGGCGCAGCAGGGGCCCAGCTGATTCTGGTGTCTGGTGGTCGGGCCAGGCCGAGAAGAGGATGTGCTTTACTGACCGGCACTCTTCCTGGTACTGGGTTGGAGACAAGGCATGGGAACCAGGGTCAGGGTAGAGGGCACTGTCTACCTTCTTCTCTGGTGCCTGAGGAGGGCAAGGGCTGGAATTACCCTATGGGGGTGGGCGGGATCATCTACTCAAAGCAGGCTAGATTGCAATTTTCCCGCTCTTCATTCTCCACCACTCCCCTCTCCAAAATGCTGGGAAGGAGCATTGTCCTGGGAGAGACCCAAATCCAAGTCCTGGCTCTGATTCTAATAAGCACACGACTTTGGGCAAGTCTCTTAATGTCATTTTCGTCACCTGGAAAATGGGGACAGTGTTATCTTACTGGTTTACTTGCCAGGATATTTGGAGGAGAATGAATTGATGGAGAAATGCTTTCAAAAATATAAAACAACAGAAAATAATAGAAGGCATTTTAAAAGCCCTTGTGTACATGTTATTCCACATCTCTTTCTTTCTTTCTTTCTTTTTTTAAAATTATTTTTATTTTTGGAGATGGGGTTTCACCATGTTGGCCAGACTGGTCTCGAACTCCTGACCTCAGGTGATCTGCCCACCTCAGCCTCCTAAAGTGTTGGGATTACAGGCGTGAGCCACTGTGCCCCACCATTTTCTTTTTAAGACATAGTCTCATTCCATCACCCAGTCTAGAGTGCAGTGGCATGATCTCGGTTCACTGCAATCTCTGCCTCCTGGGTTTAAGTGACTATCCTGTTTTAGACCCCAGGTAGCTATAATTTTTACTAGAGATGAGGTTTCACCATGTTGGCCTGGCTGGTCTTGAACTCCTGATCTCGTGATCTGCCCAACTCAGCCTCCCAAAGTGCTGGGATTACAGGTGTGAGCCACCACACCTGGCCTTCCACATCTCCTTCCCTAGGCATGACTCCTGGATTCTGCCTCTCGTCTGACCATTCACACAGACGAGTGGCACTTCCTGGTGGTTCCTATTTGGCTTGTTGGCTTTGCCCTATTAGACTAGAGGCTGAGGACAGTGCTCAAGTTTCTCTTTCTTCTACAGATGTGGGTTTAAGATGGTTTAGATGAGCAAACCCTTGGCTCTTAGCAAAGAGCTGGCCTGAGTTCCAGAGATGCTCTGGGTGGCCCAACTTCCCACTGGGCCTGGCCCTAGGGGTGGTACCTGGATGGTGAGCTGCCGCACAGTGTATTCTGGGCACTCTTTCATGTCCTGGACGCGGATCTGGAAGGGTCCATAGGCTTCCTCTTCTGTGGGCCAGTAGTGGACACATTTCTAGGAGGGAGAGAGCTGGGAGTCAGAAGAGGGTCAGTTGGAGCAGGGAAAGGGGTAGCAGAGAGGGGCTAGTGTCTCCTCCCCATCTTCCACCCCTACTGGATGGGTGGTCATCAACAGGGGGCCTGGCTCTTCTGAGCTTGATACCTGCAGGCAGAGTGCTCACTCTATCCTATATTTTGGCCATGGACAGCCTCCCTGGGTCTATGTCAGGGAATGTTCTGAGAAGTGTGGGCTGGGGCTGGATTCCAGGGAAGCCTCTGGTCCTGAGCTGCCCTGGGTGGGGGTTGGGGGTGGGGTGAGCGTAGCACTTTCTGGGTTCATCAAGAAGTGTGGCTCTGCTCCTACCTCCTTGCCCTCTCGGAGCTGAGTGAGCATGACAATGAGAGACACTTCCTCTTGCCACACCATCTCCCAGAAGTCCGACACAGTGTTGGGCATGGGGCCCTGGGTGGCAATGTAGACCTTCTCCTTCCCATCATAGCCCTGGGGAGGTGGAAGCACAGGGGAAGGGGGGCGGTCAGTGAGAGCAGAGCTCTGGGGAGATCCTGGATGCCTCAGGTGCTGGGGTCAGCCTGAAGCTGTGAACTACACGTGTAGACACACACGTGCATGAACACGCACATTCAGAAGCCACATGGTGGAAAGGATTCAGGTTCTGGAGTAAGGATCAGATCCCTGTTCAGTTTCCTGGCTGTGCCACTATGAGCCAGTTACCTAGCCTCTGTAAGCCTCGGTTGTATCATCTGTAAATTGGGCATGATAATTACATCGTAATGTAGAGTGGATTAAATTCAGTAAGATATATTGAGAGTCTAGCTGATAGCAAGTGCTCTGCAGATGTTTGTTCCCTTCCTCCCCTGCTGCTTTCTTCTAGCATAAAATACCTAAACAGTGTTTAATATTTGTTCAGTGACAGTTTCACATTAACTTGTTACTTTTCTATAAAAGTAATAGCAAAATGCAGCGCACTCTCCCTAACCTGATTTTCTCTCCTTCAGGATCCTCAGCTGCCGGCTCCTCAAATGATGGTGAAATCCCGACTGCAGTTGATTTGGTATTGACCGGTAAATGGAAGATCATGTGTCCCCACAGCTTCCCGAGCTAAGAGGTTTATCGCCTCCCTGCACCCCTGACTGCTGTCTTACCCACATTGAGCCACTAGAGAGCACTGCTTTTACTTCTCCTTTGGGCCCGCAGCAGTGAGAAGCTGGCGTGGAGCACCTACCTGGCCTAGAGCTTCCTGTATCTTGATGTCAATCGACCTTCTTCACATAAGAGGGGCTACTTTGGGGGCATTTAAGGTAATAGGGGAGGGAGGGGCCAGGCATGGTGGCTCACGCCTGTAATCCAAGCACTTTGGAGGCCAAGGCTGTCCGATCACCTGAGGTCAGGAGTTTAAGACCAGCCTGACCAACATGGTGAAACCCCGTCTATAAAAAAAAAAAAAAAAGAAGGGAGGGAGGTTCCATTAGTGCTGGCATCACCTATGCAGGTCTCGGGAGCTGTGAGCCCTCAAGCAGCTGGAGATTGGGCTCAACAATGCTAACTTCCTGCTAAGTCTAGAGGGCGGCATGGGAGGGCTGATGGGGAGGTTAGGGAGACTCAGTGGTCTCTCCAAATATTTTTAACACCTGCTCCGATGTCTAGGTTGGTGAATTGGGGCCTGTTCAGTGCCAGCTCAGCTTGGTAGGTCTATGACAGAGGTGAGCTGAAGCAGGGAGGGTGGGAAATGCAGGCACCTGATCCACCAGCCATGGCTGGAAGATATTCTCAGACATCTGAGAGTTCCCCATCCCCTGCCCACCACTGCAGCAGACCACTCACTCGGATGTAGTTGGCATTGATGTAGTCTCCGTCCTCCTGGCTCTGTGCCCGGCCTAGACAGACACGGCTCTGGGGATCTAGGAAATAGAAATCAGCAGCAGAGGTCAAAAGGTGACCAACTAACACAGACTCCAGCAGGGGCAGAAGGAGGAGAGTTCCTGTGCTCATCACAGTCATGGCACCTTGTATATAGCAGGCGGCCTGATACCCCACTGGAACCATTGTTGTTTTTAAAGACAGGGTCAGGCCGGGTGCGGTGGCTCAAGCCTGTAATCCCAGCACTTTTGGAGGCCAAGGTGGGTGGATCACGAGGTCAAGAGATCGAGACCATCCTGGTCAACATGGTGAAACCCCATCTCTACTAAAAATACAAAAAAAAATAAAAATTAGCTGGGCGTGGTGGCGCGTGCCTGTAGTCCCAGCTACTCAGAAGGCTGAGGCAGGAGAATTGCCTGAACCCAGGAGGCGGAGGTTGCGGTGAGCAGAGATTGCACCATTGCACTCCAGCCTGGGTAACAAGAGCGAACTCTGTCTCAAAATAAATAAATAAAGACAGGGTCTCACTCTGTTGCTTAGGCTGGTGTGCAGTGGTGCAATCACAGCTTACTGCAACCTCTAACTCCTGGGCTCAAGCAATATTTCTTTCCACATAGCTGGGACTACAGGCACATGCCACCACACCTGGCTAATTTATTTATTTATTTATTTATTTATTTATTTATTTATTTATTTATTTATTCATTTACGTTTTTTGTAGAGAAATGGTTTCACTTTGTTGCCCTGGCTGGCCTTAAGTTTCTAGCCTCAAGCAATGCTCCCATCTCGACCTCCCAAAGTGCTGAGATTACAGGTGTGAACCACCATGTTTGGCCGCCACTGAAGTATTTTATACTCAGACAGTAGGGAGCTATAGAATGTTTCTGAGCAGGATAGTGACGTGATCAGAGGAATAGCTTGGGAAGGTTAACTGAGTGGTGCTGTATAGGATGGACTATAGAAAGGGAATGGAGCAGCGGAGACCAAATGGGAAGATGGAATATTAGATATAATACTCTTTTTTTTTTCAGACAGAGTCTTGCTCTATCACCCAGGCTGGAGTGCAATGGCATGATATTGACTCACTGCAACCTCCACCTCTCAGGTTCAAGCAATTCTCTTGCCTCAGCCTCCCAAGTAGCTGTGATTACAGGCACCCAACATCACGCCCAGCTAATTTTTTTATTTTTAGTAGAGATGGGGTTTCACCATGTTGCCCAGGCTGGTCTTGAACTCCTGACCTCAGGTGATCCATCTGCCTCGGCCTCCCAAAGTGCTGGAATTACAGGCATGAGCCACCACACCTGGCCTAAGAAATATATAATATTCTAATAGATATAGTGATTCTATCCTTGAGATCAGTACGGGTTTAGAATAAGATTATGCCAATAGGAATGGAAAAAGAGATGTAGAGGAAGAAGAATTTGTTTTCTAATGGTGAATACGGGATTCAGATGAGCAACTTGTCAGATATCACACAGCCACGAAGTGGGACTAGGACTCAAATCCTACTTAGCCGTGAGGCATTTGGCCTCTGCCTCTAAGGGGAAAGAATTCTCTAAATTTCATTTCTTCCTCCATGCCCAAACATGAATGAAGAAGACGGCTTGTGAGGAAAGGAGAAGAGACTCTCACTCTGCTCATACCAGCCTGCTCATGGCCAGAGGGTGTCCTGGGGACCACAGGAATCTCAAGCAAAGGGATTTTTCCCTTTTCTGGTGGCTGCAGTGCTGATTAGAACTAGGCCAAGAACAAGGGCTACTCCTTCCCGTGGCTTGGAATAGCACTAATAGCCCCTTGATCCGCCCATGCAGGCAGAGGGCACTCCAGGAGGGTTAGCAGGAGGCAGCACTCGTGTGCTCCAGAGCTAAAGCCTCAAGCTGGGAGTAGCTTCCCTGTAGGGTGAGAGGGGGAGGGAGGCAGAGGCCCCGGGGCTTCGTGCCTGCCTCTGAAAAATAGAAGGTGCTGGTTCTGTGTCTGTCAGCTTGCAGGGTCACCCCCTCCTAGCCCAGTATCCTCCATCCCCACCCCCACTACTGCTCTCTTGCTGGCTGTTGCCCTGCCTCCTCCATCTGACTTTCTCAAAGCCCTCTCTCTGGGAGCCCTCTTAGTGGTCCTTCTTTCACTGCAAGCCTTGGCTGGGCATTTCCCATGAGAGAGAAAAATGAGGAAGAGGGTTTGGTGCAAGTAGCTAAGTTGAATAGCTTAGGTAAGAGATTCAACTTCTCTGTGCCTTAGTGTGAAGGCACAGCGATTTGTAAAATGGTCATCATAATATCGCAGTACCAACTTCATGGGATCGTTATGAGAAATTAGTGAATATAAAGGACTGAGAGCAGGGCCTGGCCCAGGGTGCACATCTGCAAACATTATTATTGCTGCTGTTGTCATTCCTGCTCCTTCTTCCCCCTTTCTCTGCTGAGAGAAGATGCCCCAAGTAAGGTCATCCTTCCCTGGCTGAAACGGTGTACCTTGCCTTCTGAAGTTCTCCAGCCCCAGGGCCTATACCTAACTCCCTTCATCCTAGCTGCAGATCTTACTTGGCAAGATGGTCTTGTATCGGTCCTTGGAGGCATGGCCAGGGATGTCCAGGTCTTCGGGGCTGACAAAGTTTGAAGGGATCTTCTGGCAGGGGGAAGAAATGAGTGAGCAGCTGACTCCCCTTCCTAGCCGCCTTTTCTCCTCTTCTATTCTTTTCTAGAACAACTGGGCTCTGGCTGTTCCTTCTTGATATTAATATGTAGGCCTAGATGGGGTGGCTGCAGAAGGCGAAGCCCAGGTGGAGCCCCCTCCCCCAGCCCTAGAGTTCTCTTTCCTAAGGGTCCAAAGAGGAGACAGGCCGACGGTCCCTGTGAGAGAATGGTTCCAGCTGGCTGCCTCTGACACAGAGCAGAGCAATTCAGAAGGGACCTCAATTTCTTACCAAGAATTCTTCTTCCAGCTGCTTGGGGCTGGGTGGCTGGCACTGAAGGGCCCAGCGGGTAAGGGGGTGTCCAGCAGTGCGCAGAAAGTGTAGGGTGACCTCCCGGGGAGTGTTCACGGAGCAGATGGGTTCTACAGCCCCCAGGGACCGGACATCCAGCATCAGAGCCACATTGGAGCCCCGCCTGCAGGCACAGTCCACACTGCCTAGTGAGCACCCAATCGTATTTGTTTTGCTTTTTATCTTTTCTTTTAGGTATAGGGTCTCTCTCTGTTGCCCAGGCTGGAAGGTGATGGCACTATTATGGCTCATAGCAGCCTCAAACTCCTGAACTGAAGCGATCCTCCCACCTCAGCCTCCGGAGTAGCTGGGACCACAGGCACATGCTACTGTGCCTGGCTAATTTAAAATAATTTTTTTTTTTTTTTTTTTTTTTTGGTTTTGAACTCCTGGGCTCAAGTGATCCTTCTGCCTTGGCTTCCCAAAGTGCTGGTTACAGGCATGAGCCACTGTGCCTGACCATACTTGCTTTTCTTACAAGTATTACTGTTATGAGGCACCTCTGAGGGGGCCGCTTCTTGTCTTTACTTTAACCTGGAGGCCCAGTGAATTTAGGGTTCAGGCCCCTGCTGTATACATTCCCCCCCGCCCCTTCCTAGCCCAGGCTGGTCTCCAATTCCTGGACTCAAGAGATCCTTCCACCTCAGCCTCTCAAAGTGCTGAGATTTTGGGCATGAGCTACCATGCCGGGCTCAGCCCTGTGTCAGCCAGACAGGGCAGCCTTGAACTCAACTGCTCCTTCCAGCTGCCTGCCTCTTCCCACTCCCAGCCAGGCCCTGTGGCTCTGACGTGCATCCAGCACCAAGAAGGCCACTGGCCTGGCCTGGAATTTAGGGATCAGGCTCAGGGTTGTTAAGAAACTCTGTGCTCCAGACATGCAAAACACATGCAAATGAGCACTACTGGTTTCCTTTGCATACTGGAGTCAACAATTGGACTATGTTGTCAGAGCTGGAGGGGCAGGTGGAGGAAAGGGAGGAAGGGAATGGGGCTCAGGGCCGGGAAGACCCCTCCCCCAGGGGAGATCTTACCTCTCCTGTAGCCGCACATGCTTCTTGGCTGGCGTTTTGGCAGGCAGAGGCTGGGTCATGGCTGCCCCCAAAGAAATGGTCGGTGGCTGGGCTGTGGAGCTCCCTCCACAGGCCTGGACCATGCTGGGGTGGGGTGCTGGGCCCAGGAGAGGCTCACTCAGCCATGAGGTCTGCCTGAAAGACAGGGCCCTCCGCTGCTGTTCCCTGGCCTGCCTGATTGGCCAGAAGGAGGCTTCCACGCCCAGGCCGGCTTTGCGCTCCGTTTTCACTGGGGCATCTCCTGTTTCCCAAGAGGTAGCCTCATGTTCACTACAGGAAGGACAGGATCTCTTTGGTGGGACCCAGGGCAGAAGGCAGTCTGGGGTTAGAGTAACGGCAAGATAAAGGTAGAGATTGTGGATGAAGATAGGAAAGAAGCCAAAAGGAGGAGGAGAGAGAAGAGAGAGGCCACACAGGGCTCTGCGGGTCCAAGTGGAGAAGGCAAGGGAGGAAATGGAAGACATGTGTTCTCTAGGACGGAAGGGAGAAAGCATGCAGAAGCCATCTCGGAGCTAACCAGTGGGCTTTCTCCTCAACAGGGAATGGCAGCTGCAGCAGTGCTGGAGATGGGTGGGCAGCCAGGCAGGCCAGCTCTAGGACCCCGGCAGGGTCCTCTCCTAACTGCTGATGTTCCACTCTTAAGTCCGTTTCTGGCTTCTGGGGTGTCTGTCCAGGGAGGTAGGCTGGGGGTGTTTCCTTCCTCCTCCTGCCCATCCCCCGCCTCCCGCCTCTGTAACCGTCACAGGAAATGGCCTCACCAAGCCCTTGAGCGACAGTGCATGGTGAGGCGACAGCTGGGGGCAAGACAGGGGGCATGCAGATGGTGGGACCATCTCCTCTTGGGGACAGTCTGTATCTCCCAGAGCCAGGGTCACAGCGGGCAAGGTGGTGGGGGTGATTAGTCAGCAAGGCAGGGATGGAGGTAAGGGGACAGGGAGGGTCCGGCGCAGGTGTGGGTGGTAGAAAGAGGGTCTCTGGCAGCAGAAAGGGGGTCTTCAGCCTCCGCTCTCTTTGCAGCTCCCTGTGGCTTCCGTGCTTACCCCCTTCTGGGGGACATCAGGGCTGTGAGCACCCATTCCCCAGCCAGGCCCTGTAGCACCCCACTCGCCCTCCCATACTCCCTCCTGCAGATGCCCCCTTATATCCCTGGAGTTCGCAACCCCCAGGGCCACAGGACTCCCGGTCCCCCTTCAGATACTTACTGAAGCAGCTGTGGCCCCCAGGCTGCCTCTTGCCAGCTGTCTGTCTGTCTGTCAGTCTGTCTTTGAGGGCTGAGAAGGCTTCAGGAAGCCAGCTTCCTCCCTCCGCCCCTCCTTGCTGCCACCCACGCATACCCCAGCTGCATGCTGCCCTCCTGTGCCTGCTGCTGCTGCCACCAGGGGTCGGGTGCCTCCTGCCTCTGCCCTTATGGATCCCAAGGCCCTGTTTCCTGGGAATGGGTGAGGGGCTAGGCCTTTCTACCATCCTGCTTCCCCCGGCTTCCAGACCCTCTCCCGTCCTGCTGTGTTTCTCCTCTGGGTCTTGACCTTGGCCAGAGGCTTTTTCTGCTTCTCTGCCTCTGCCCCACAGCCCTCTCCCTCGAAGCCCTTGCTGCTTCAAGCCTTGGGAATTCATGGCCAAGCACAGACCACATCTTCCCAGAGCAGATGTGACACAGACTTGGGGTGGGGAAAAGGAGGAGGCAAGAATCCATGCCTCACAATGGGAAGGAAAGGCCCCGGCCAGGCCAAAAAGGTCGTCTCCATGCCCTGTGCCACAGCCGGGCTCTCCGTAGGCAGATAGCAGAGTCCACTTGTAGGAGGGAATCTGAGGGGCTTCCCCTGGGCCCCCAATCCCCTGCGGGCCTCCTCCCAGAACCCTGACATCTGCTTGGAAGACTTACAGACAGCAGACAGTCTCTGGCCCTCACAGCAGGGGACTCCCATGTCCTCTTCGCTGCTGGGGTGCCTGGGACCTGAGGGGTGGCCCCCAAGTGCAAGACTCCTCTGCCCCCTGCCCCTGCCTGGCCTTGGCAGGCTCCTTGTGGGCCAGCAGCCCAGCTGGTTCACGCTTGCTGCACGCCTCCTTTTACCTTGTAATATTTCAAACACCCTTCCCTTCCCGGCCCCCAACACGCACAATCCACGTCCTCTTTCTTCCTCCCACTTCCCTGATTCAGCTGTCAAATGGTGACAGCAAAAAAGAAATGAGGTACCATAGGCACAGGGGTAGGCACGCTGGAGGGGGTGATCGGGAGGGGCTGGCTTTCTGCTGGCCCCCTGGGGAGGGCTGGATATGAAGGACAGCAATAACCCTCTGAAACTCAGGAGGCCTCCCAGCACCTGCGCTTGCTCTTGGCAGTGGGGACAGGGGCTGGCTCTTTTCTGAGTCCCTTCATGGCCAGCAGACCCTGGTGCCTTCTTTCCTGCAGCCTGTGCTCCTCTCTGGAGTGGGTGGGTTTCCCTGAGGAGGAGGCGGATTAGGGCTGGGAAAGGGGTTGGCTCCTGTGCTCAGGACAGAGTGGAGAGGAGCGGGAGCCTGAGAGCCCCTACTGTGCTTGCAGGCAGTGACCCAGCGACTGGCCTCTGCCTCACCCCCTACACCAGTCAGTGTTTCCACCGGTGGGTAGCAGGGGCCCTGGGGGTGCAGGAGGGGGCAGGTGGGGGCAGGTGGGGGTTGGAAAGCGGGCTGGGCTCTGGGCCTATGTTGATTGTTATCAAGAACAGGAAGCTAGGACACCACAGGGGTGGGAGGAGGAAGCGACAAAGCCCTCCCCACACAGGTCTGCCTAGTGGCCCCAAGTTTCCAGGGTCCAGGCCCTGTTGGCTGTGAGCCCACCCCTTTCCCCCACAGACTGAGGCCTGGCAATGGTTGAGCAGTTGGAAGCTGAGCTTCTGAGCAAGGAGCAAGGAAACTGGGAGCTAGGAGATGGGCAAGATAGTTGGGGGCGGGGGTAGTGGTTGGGCATTAGGCAGGACCTCAAGGATCCCCCGTTCCCTCTGGGTGGGTCTAGGGTGGAGGGGACAGTCACTCTTTGCCTCCTGCCCACTCTCTCTTCTCCTGTGCTTAGGGATGCCTGGACATCCATGGAGGTGTGTGGCCAGAGCTCGTGAGGGCTGAGGGTGCCCACTGCAGCCTCAGAAGGGACAAGACACCTGTCGGCCTGCACCAGCCCCTCCCCAGCCTGGCCTGGTGACTTGGGTCACCCCTCTCTGACCTGTCTGGAGTGGACTCTGCTCCATCTGGGCTGCTGGGAGGCTCCTGGGAGTGACTCCCTCTCCCCTCCAGAACTTCCCACTCCTGGGGCCGAAAGGTCCCAGCAAGCTCTCAAACTTCCATCACTCGAATTGATTTGTGTTCCTGGGTTGAGATTTAGGTTCTAGCCACCCTCGACTCCAGAGAAAGTATAGTAATAGTCAGAAATCAGAAAGACCTGTGCATGTGAGTCTGAATGTAGCTTATTAGCTGTGTGACCTTGGCCAAGTCGCTGAGCCACCCTGAGCCTCGGTATCCGCCTCGGTCTCCTCCTCAGCTTCCTCCCTCTTCTGGGGGATGTTCACAGCGCCTCCCTCACCAGCTTGTGCAGTGCTTTGCTCATGGAGAGCTCGGGAGTCAGAGGCCAGAGGAGCGAGGAGCTGGAGGAGCTGGCTGGGGAAGTGGGCCTGGGAGCCTGGGAGCGGCACAGGGTGAGGAGGTCATGGGTCTCACCGCTCCCCAGCCTCCCTCTTCCTCCTCACTGCTGACTTTCTCCCCAAAGCCAGGCACTTCCACCCCAGCACTGAGGAGGTTCCCGAAGGAGTCACTCCTGGGGGTCTCCCAGCATCCTGGATAGGGCAGTTTACTCCAGGGAGGACAGAGAGGGGTGTCCCAAACCACCAGGCCAGGCTGGGGCAGGGCTGGTACAGGGCATGACACATCATGAGAGTCAGCCTTATTCCATCTGAAGCTGTGGGGGGTGCCCTCAGCCCTCCCGAGCTCTGGCCATGCACGTCCTGACTCTGTTTCCCCCTCTAGTGACCCCTAGTTCCAGGGCTGTGAGCCACAGCTCCCTGTCCCCAGTATCAGAAGCCCCCCAGGGAAAGCCATTAAATCTGGGATTCCCAGAATTCTTTGCTCCTTGCCAGCCCCTAGCAAGTAAGGAGCTCCTTGCTGGGCTGCAGTTGGCCCCCAGAGGCAAGGGCCACCACCCTCTAATAATCCAAGGGGAGGATCTTGGGGAGAGCGTCAGCTGCTGAGGGCCAGCATTCCTGGGTCCCGCACACTTCACCGGCTCTGCTCCCTCCTAGCTGCCCTCCTCGGCTCCTCTTTAGAGAAGCACCAGGATCTGGGGTGGCTGCTCCTGCATCCTTCCCTCCCCCAGAATCCTAGGCCAGCCTGAGCCGGCTTGTTCTACCCCAACTTTACTGGCCCAGGCTTGTTCCTGTTTGTGTCAGGGAGACAGAACTGGATCTGGGAAGCCCCATCCTGGAGGAGGCAGGGACACAGCAGGGGAGACATGGTGATCGGGAAGTGCTGTTAGGGGCATGGGATGGGTCCAGGCTGACCACAGTGACACCTGTACCCCTATCTCAAAGCTGCACCCCTGTGCCAGGCCTAGGAACTCCTGCTACCTTTTGGGTGAAGGGGAACGTCCCTTACCCCTTGCCCCTGGCTGAGAGGACCAGCAAACCAGCTCTGCTCAGCACTGGGGTGCCGGGGCCAGCCTGCCGGGAGGTCTAGGAAAGTGCCTGGTTCTTCGCCTGTGGCTGGACTCAGGACCTTGGCAGGAAGGTTTTAGGGTAGAAGAGAGTCCCCCGCTTTCTTCCAAGCCCAGAGCCAGCCAAATGGACATCTCTTCCCCAATGTGGCCTTTTCTTCCCAGGGGCTCCCGTCCCCTCCCACTCTATGTTGTCCCTGGACCCACTCATGCATCCATCCAGACAGGAGTGTACACCCTCATGGCCCACGTTTGCACACATGCACACACACAGTGGCAATCCACACATACCCAGCCCCTCCTTGCTCTCCCATGACCTTGTTAGGGGGACCTAGGCCTTCCCCCACTCCCTGGCCACCTTCCCTATAGTATAGGCAGCAGGGGGAGTAGGCCGCTTGGCTGTCCTGAGCCGCGCTGCTCCTCTACTACCCAGCGATTACCTTTGTCCAGTGTGGGAGCTGCCCAAGGCCTGGTTTCAGGCTGTGGGAGAGCAGAGAGGGGCTAGAAGAGCGCTGCCTGGGACAGCTGCAGGAAGAGGCCAGGCCAAGTTCACATTTGGGAGCCAGGACTCCGGACCTGTCCCTTGCCCTCCTCTGCCTCCTGCCTGGCTCTTTCCAGAAGGAATCAGTAAGGTGCCCTGAGACTTCGGGGTAGTGGGGGGAACCCCAGGGGTTCTCTAGGGAGAGGATGTGGGTTTGTCTGTGGGGGTGGTTGCCGGGGAGGAGATACAGCCCTTGTGGTACATTTTCTTTTGCTGAATGGAGAGGTTTGGGCTGGGGAAGCTGCTTATTTCTCAGAACCTCTAGGAGCCCTGTCTCCCAGTCCCCCAGGCAGGGTTAGGGGCTGTCAGCTGTGCCTCTTAAGGCCAGGTGCTTCCTCAAGGCTCTGCCCAAAGGACTAGCTATGGAGTCTGTGCTGGGCCCCACAGGCCTCTCTTTTGTGGGGATTCTTGGGCAGGTTCTGATACCCCCTGCCTGTCCCTAGACCTGTGTCCTGTGCGTCTCTTCTTAGATTCCAAATTAGGGCACGTCCACCCCACCTGTCCCCTTTTTGGTTGCTGGTCAAGGCTACCAGAAAGAACAAAGTGAGGTGTCCCCAGGTGAGGTGGGATAAGAGTGGGATGAGAAGGCACGATGTTTCCTCCACCTCTTGCCCAGACTGGGACCTGGGACCTCTTCCCTTTCACATCAGTTTCCCTGGTTGCAACATTCCCCTACCCCACCCCCGCCTTTCAACAGAGCACATGTGCGCAGGCGCACACACAACCTGGAAAATCTCCTGAGTCTGCAGTGCTGAGTTTCCAGGCCCCATCTAGGGGCCGGGTGGGCGGCTCTGAGGTTTGGGGCTGGGTGGAGCAGGGGAGGGGCAAGCAGCCCCTGGCTGTGGCCTGAGCAGGGATCCGGGCTGAGCTGGTCTTTGAGGCTGGCTTGTCCTCCCTCTGGGGCAGGCCCAGGAGAATCCAGCTCCCACCGAGGCTGCCTTGGTGTTCAGACTTCTATACCTGTCTGTTTTCCACACATCCCCCCATCCGCCCTGCCACTTCCTGAGTTTGTTCGAGTCCTGGGCTTCACTCCCAGGGCCCAAAGCCTTTTCTACTATTCTCCTTTCTCATCCTCAGCTGTCTGTGGGTGGGAGCACCTGGGTGAGCAGCTCAAGGTGACTTGCGGGCTCTAGTCAGGGGTAAAGCAGTTCAAGTTCAATATCTTTGAGGCCAGGCTTGCCTGGGTTTCTGCAGTGCCCAAAGCCAGGTGGGGGTTGGGAGGGGGCTGGGGAACCAGGGTGGACATTGCTGATCCAGGAGATGAAGTGGGGGAAGGCAAGCAGAAGTCCTAGGTACTTGAATTGCTCCTCAGAGGATTCCCAGCGGACAGGACCCCAATTTGGGAGGTTTGGAGTAGGGTCCGCCATCTCTGCTCTATGGAGTATGAAGCCCCCAGGTTCAAGTCCAGCTTTTCTGCTCACACACGTAGGCTCTTCCCCTCCCTGGTTATCAGCTTCCTCATCTGGCAGTGGTGAGGTGGGACTGGAGGAGGCCCAAGGGCCAGGTAGGCTCTAGTTCTACAATCGCTGTGACTCAGGGGCCTAAGGATGTGCTTCTGTCCCTAAGAGCATGGTGCCATGTGGACATATAAAAGGAGACACATACTTAGCTGGCCATCCACCCAGGACACAGGAATACGCATCCACATGGGGTCACCAGGACCATACACACCGCCACGGAAACACTGTCTACCTCGCACCCGATGACAGCAGACGCTGCGCCTTCCTCCAGGGCCAGAGATGGGAGAGCCAGCTGTAAATGTGTCCATTTGCAAAGCCACCTCTCCTCTTGGTCTTTCCCAAGAGCACAGGACACTTTCCTCCCTGGAGAGCTGATGGCTGGGAGTGGGGTAGAGGTAGGGAGGCATCAGGAAAAGGTGGGTCTGTCTGCAGCATGAGAGTCACAGTCCCCTTCCGCCTTCTGAGCCAGTGTCCACCTTTCTCCCTTCAAGAGTCTTGCCAAGGCTGGAGAGATGGGGGCTCAGGCTCTGGGACTGAGAGGCAGGCCCTTGTTTTTGCTGCCTGCTGCCTGCTTCTGCTTGAAACTCTGCCCTTCCCACCCATGCCTGCCTGCCTGCTTGCCTGCCAGCCAACGGGGCAAAGAGGGCCAGGGGCACTGGCTCCCCACCTTGCTGCTTCCTGACTTTACTCTGCAGATATTGGAATGAGGCCCCCAATCCCGTTCGCTGCCCTGCTCTGGCTCTGGGGATTTGGGGCAGAGATAAGGTGGGCATGGGGGGCAGGCCATCAGGTGGAGTCCCCGCTCTCCAGGGCACATCTAGGCCTTCCACCACTCCACAGGCCTAGATTAGCACTCTCTGCATTAGCAGGGAGAGGCCGCTCCCTTTCCACCAGGGCCAGCATGCGGCACAGCAAGTGAGGACAGGTGAGGACAGATTGCTCAGCCTGCCTGGAGAACAGATGTGCAGTGGGCATGCCTCCGGGAGATGCCCCTTGGCATCTCTGAGTGGGGCTGTCAGACATGGCAGCAGAGCCTTCTCTTGGACCCTGGCCCTGCCCTCCCACTCCAGTAGCCTACCCAGAGGCCCCTGTCCATTTCCCTGGGTCTCTGCCCACTTTCTTCCCGTAGGAAGAAGCATGCCCTTCCCTGGAAGGGAGTTCAGGCAGGAGAGTGGAGGTGGGTGTCTTCAGCAGGGGAGGGAGTTCTGGGGGTGAAGAGTCGGGGGTGTAGGGCGAATTTTCCACACCAGACCCTGCCTCTACCCTGGTGTTTTTTGTTTTTTTTTTTGCCTTTCCTTCTTCTGTAGGGCAGAAAGGCTGTTAGTGGGTTCTGAAAGCCCCTTCTTTTCCCCAGGCCCACCACTTATAGTGAACGTCACCAGCCAGGGGAGACCTACTAGCCTCTTTCTGAGCTGGGCAGCTCCGGAGCCAGGCGGGTTCACCCATGCCCTCTGCCTCATGCATCTGAGCCCCCTCGGCTCTCTCAAAGGGCAGCAGCTCGAGGTCCACACTCACGCATCCAGCTTTGAGTTCTAGGATCTGGTGCCAGGGAGTCACTACCAGCTGGAAGTGACTGGCCTGTGACCCTTTAGGCAGAATGTCACTGTCACCCTCACTACCCACAGTGGTCTGAGGCCTGCAGGCTGAAAGGGCAGGGGTGTTGCCTGCCTGAGGTTGGGCAGGAGGCGGCTGCCCTGGAGTGCTGGCAGGGAGGGCACCTTCTCTGTAGAGCGTGTCTAGTTCACTGACCCATTTAGGAGCACTACAAGAAGAAGGGTGATGCCCCGGTGCCCCTGACCTTGGCATCTCTCTCTCCCTCTGATGCAGCCCCCTCAGCTGTCCATGGACTGCAGCTCCACAGCCTCGGGAGCCCATCCAGCCTGGAGGCCTCATGGGGTGATGTCCCTGGGGAGCAGGATGGCCACCACCTTCTCCTCTCCCACCTACAATCCCAGACATTGGCACATAGTATCTCCCTGTCCCTGACACCCTGTCCTGCAATTTTGGCAATCTCTTGCCAGGTAGTGAGTATATTTTGGAAGTGACCACCTGGGCTGGCAACCTCCAAGCAAAAACCAGCCTCCACCAGTAAACAGGTAAGGTGGGCACTTGGGCAAGGCCTAGGGTGGCAGCCAATCTGGGAGTGATGGAGAGTCCAGAGCCTCATAGGCAGCGGTGTTCCAATGTGCCTGGGTTTCTGTGCTCCTGGTGCCAGTGTCTATGCCAGCATCCTGCTCCCAGGGCCTTTCTAGAGCCTGACTTTGTTCTCTCCATCCGTCCTCTAGCCCCTGTGTCTCCAGATCACCTGGTACTGCATACCCTGGGCACCAGTGCCTGGCAAGCCTCCTGGAATGGCTCTGAGAGGGCTGCTGGGCTCCACTTGGTGCTCACAGACCTCCTAGATGGCACCACCCTGACTGCAATAGTCAGATGAGGAGTCTCATGTCACACCTTCCTTCACCTGTCTCCGGGCACCCTTCCATGAGCTGATGCTCAGTGCTGCTGCTGGGCCCCATCGGACAGCGGGGCCCAATGCCACAGAGTGGACCTGTGAGTGCCTGGGAGTAAAGGAGACACAGCTGAGACTTCCCAGCTCTTGTTCGCGGGTCAAGTAGCCAGGATACAACTGGCAGGGGAGAGGGTGTTTTGGAGGCTCAGAGGGAGTGCTCCTCAGTTGGCTGGTGGTGGACACCTATTAAGGAGATGATGGTGGTGATAGTTATCAGTTGAACCCTTCTGTGTGCTGGACTCTGTGCTAAGCACTTTCTGTGTATTGTTTCCTTGAATCCTCAGAGCAGCCCTATGGAAATCATATTCTCCCCATCTTACGGTAGAGGGAGCTGAAGTTCGGAGAGAGGAAGAGCCGACCTGAACTTGGGTTGAAAGCCCATGTTGGCTTCCTCACAGCTTCACTGAGTTTTTACTTAGAGAAGCCCCGTTGTGCCGTGGTTAAGGGCAGACAAAGCAGCCTGCCTGCGTTCTGAGTCTTGTTTCTGCCACCCACTAGCTGTGTGTCTCTGGACACGTTGTTTACCTTCTCTCTGTGTTAGTTTCCACATGTAGTACTCAGAACCACGCTGGCAGGTGCACGTTTGATCACTTGATGTGTTTATTTCTGTTATTGTCCACAGTCAGATGGTAGCAGCCAGATCCCAGTGTTCATCCAGAATGTGGTGGCAAGTGGTGGCTGCTCACATTGGGACAAGGCATGGCCAGTGCATAGAGAAGCCGCACAGAACCAGTGGGCTTCCTCCCCTCTGCTATTTAGGTCTTCCTGCACACATTTCTTTTCTCCACAGATCCCTCTGCCCCCTTCCACCTGGTATTGACTCCCCTGCCTGCCAAGCTCTGGGCAAGCTGGAAGGTAGGGCCAGGTGCCTGGGATGGCTTCCTCTGAGGTTAAGTGGGCCAGTCGAGAAGAACATCACTCTGGGCCCTGAGGCCCTCAGGCCCTCAGTGCCACATTCCCAGGGCCTCTGGCCACACCTGTACCTATGAGTTCCTGGCTGCAGCCTATGGGAGGCCAGCCCAGGGCCGTGGTCTGGGGGACTGGCACCCTCTACTCTGCACTTCTGTGCTCCATATTCTTCTTTTTTTTTTTTTTAATTTGAGACAGAATCTCACTGTGTCACCCAGGCTGGAGTGCAGTGGCAGGATCTTGGCTCACTGTGACCTTCGACTCCTGGGTTCAAGTGATTCTGCTGCCTCAGCCTCCTGAGTAGCTAGACTTACAGGCACCTACCACCTTGCCTGGCTAATATTTTTTTTCAGTAGAGACAGGGTTTCACCATGTTGGCCAGGCTGGTCTGGAACTCCTGACCTCAAACAATCTGCTCACCTCGGCCTCTCAAAGTGCTGGGATTACAGGCGTGAGTCACTGTGGCTGGCCTGTGTGCCATATTCTTGACTCAGAAGGCCATGAGTATAAGATGAGGCCTTTCATGAATCTATTTGCAAGCAATTTCTACCTCCTTCCATCTGGTTGGTTATCTACCCACTGTCTATCCACTATCCATCTATCCATCCATCTATCCATCCATCCATTCCACAAATATTCAATGAATGACTCCCATTTTCTTGGTATGAAACCAGTTACTGAGGCCAAAAATGATGAATAGTCTAGGAAGACAAACAAGATGGCATATATATAGCATATGATTTTATATATCATATCTGTTAATGCACTAATTGGAATGTACATAATGCATTAGTTTGAACCATATGAAATTCCTATAGGTGGCTCACACCTGTAATCCCAGCACTTCGGGAGGCCGAGTTGGGCAGCTCACAAGGTCAGGAGTTTGAGACCAGCCTGGCCAACATGGTGAAACGCTGTCTCTACTAAAAATACAAAAATTAGCTGGGTGTAGTGGCAGGCACCTGTAGTCCCAGCTACTCAGGAGGCTGAGGCAGGAGAATTGCCTGAACCCAGGAGGCAGAGGTTGCGGCGAGTTGAGATTACGCCATTGCACTCCAGCCTGGGTGACAAGAGCGAAACTCCATCTCAAAAAAAAGAAGGGAAGGGAAGGGAAGTAAGGAAGGGGGGAGGGGGAGGGGAGGGGGGAAGGGGGAAGGGAGGGGGAAGGGGGAGGGGAGGAGAGAGTTGGGGAGGGGAGAGGAGGGGAGGGGGAAGGGGGAGGGGAGGGGAGAGTTGGGGAGGGGAGAGGAGGGGAGGGGGAAGGGGGAGGGAAGGGGAGGGGAGGGGAGGGGGATTGGGGAGGGAAGAGGAGGGAAGGGAAGGGAAGGGAAGGGAAGGGAGGGGAGGGGGAAGGGGAGGAGAGGGAAGAAGGGAAGGGAAGGGAAGGGAAGGGAAGAAGGGAAGGGAAGGGGAGGGAAGGGGAAGGGGAAGGGGAAGGGGAAGGGAGGAGGGAGGAGGGGGGGAGGGAGGGAGGGAGGAAGGAAGGAAGGAAGGAATTCCTATAAGTTAAAACAGCTGAATCTCGGGAATTTTATGTGGCTCAGTCTAATCTTTTAGGACTCACACCTGTTATGATTAACCACTCGTGGCCCATCGCTACCCACCTCCCTGCTGTTAGTCATGGGAGAGCATGAGGAATGTCATGGCCAGGGCTGCTACAAGTGAGCAAACCCCTTCTAAAAAGGTTCTGCCCACCTTCTAGAAGGCAGACCCTTCTTGGACACCTGCTTAAAAAGTCAGAGGAGGTTTCCTGGAGAAGAGTGAGCTGAGTGAGCAGGCTGGTGGGGAGCAGGGTGTGGTCCATGCCCAGGGGCCTCTGCTGGGGCTGGAGAGGACAGCTGAGGGCCTTAGCAGGAGGCTAAGCGTGCACCAAGGCCCACAGGCCCAAGACAGAGAACTTGTGGGAACTGAATGTCAGCAGGTGAGCTGGAGACCAGCTCAGAGCAGACCTAAGAGGTATGAGAGGGTGGGCGCCATGCTCTCAGGGGCGGACAGTCAGGGAGGAAGCAGCAGGTGTCTGGGCAGGCATCTGTTTTAGAAGGTTCCTGGGAGGGAAAGGAGGGCAGCCTTTGAGCCCTGTGGAAGCTGGGGTTTTTGGCTGGGAGTACTGGCAGCTTGCTTGGGGACTGAAGAGACGGGTGTAGCTCACCGGGAGGAGGGGCAGGGGATTCAGGTGACCTCACATCTGTTTCTTCCTAATCCTTCCTCCAGTCCCTGCTCCTCCTGCCAACTTGAGCTGAGCCTTGCCAGTCAGCCTCCTGCCCTGAGGGCTTCCTGGAGTCCCCCACCAAGCTGGAGGGGTGGCTTCCAGACGCAGCTTTATAGCCTGAGGCCTCTGGCTCTGGAAAGGGAGGAGACTGGCTGCAGAGGTCTGGAGCTTCTCCTGGGCCCAGCTGTCCCCGGGCTCCAAGCTCCTGGTGCAGCTGGCCACACTGCAGGGGCTGGATCAGAACAGCAGCACCAGCGCCATGGGCTGGACACGTGAGTCCTGGCCGCCCTCCCCTAGCGTGCTCCTTGGATTCCCAGGGGGCTGCATGGCCCCTTGGCCTCTTTGTGGTCTGCGGGCAGGCAGCAGGGCTGATGGTGGGGCATGTACCAGCTTAGGGTTGTACTCTAGGTCCCTAGTCACCAGGTAACCCCACTCTTCTCACTGGGACCACCCCCCCAGGGCCCTGGCCCTTTAGGCCTTCTAGAAGATGGGCAGACCCTTTTTAGAAGGGGTTTGCTCACTTGTACAGAGGCCCTGAGTGTGGCATTCCTAATGCTCTCTCATGGCTGACAGTCAGGAGGTGAGTGGTAATTTGAGCCTCTAGTGGTTAATCATAACAACAGCAAGGCTGGGCACTTTGGGAGGCCGAGGTGGGTGGATCGCTTGAGGTCAGGAGTTCGAGACCAGCCTGGCCAACATGGTGAAACCTCATCTCCACTGAAAATACAAAAATTAGCTTGAGGTAGAGGTTGCAGAGCCGAGATTGCACAACTGCACTCCAGCCTGGGTGACAGAGTGAGACTCCCTCTCAAAAAAAAATTCCTAACAGCAATAGCTAGCATTTACTGGGGACTCGGCCAGGTCTTCTGCCTGTGTGCTCTCACTAAGTCTCATAATGCCAAGCCTAGGAAGTAGTTACTGTGGTTTTCTTCATTTCACAGATGAGAAAACTGAGGCAGAGAGAAATAACTGGCGCTAGGTTCCTCAGCACAGTAGGGAGTCGGGATTCAGGCAGGCAGTGTGACCGCGTCCACGCTCCTTGCTTCTACTCAAGTGTGGGACTCGCAGCGAGGTTTTCTCCTCCCCGGAAGCCCTGGGGTCTCATAGAGTTGCGTTGGGAAGCCCCTCTCACATGGCCTGAGTCCTCCTGCTCCTTCTGCCTGCAGAGCTCTTGGTGGAGCTAAGGGATAGCTGGGTCTCCCCACCCCTCAGCACATCCCTCTCCAATGTGGCGGCTCCTCTCACCACTCCCAGCCTCCTCCTGTTCCTGTCACTGTTGTCTGGATCCTGCCTGGAGTCCAGGCTGGGAGGGAGCTGGAAAGAGGTCACTCTGGGAGTCAGGAGACTGGGGTTCTAGCTGGGGCTGAGCCCCTAGAGCAGACCTTGGCCCTCTTTGAGCTTCAGTGTCCCCATTTGTAAAAAAGAGTGTTGACTTCTGGGCCAGGTTCATGTGGCTTCTGGGTTTAAGCGGGTTCAAGCTCTGAGGGTGGAGGGGTGCTGCCTGGGCCCCCAGACCCTTCCTTTACTACTCAGTCAACATGTTCTTTCATTTCTTTTTTTATTTTTGAGACAGAGTCTCCCTCTTTCTCCCAAGCTGGAAGGCAGTGGCATGATCTCAACTCTGCAACCTCTGCCTCCCAGGTTCAAGTGATTTGCCATCCTCAGCCTCCCAAGTAGCTGGGATTATCGGCACCTGCCACTACATCTGGCTAGTTTTTGTATTTTTAGTAGAGTCGGGGTTTTGCCGTGTTGGCCAGGCTGGTCTTGAACTCCTGACCTTAGGTGATCCGCCCAACTTGACCTCCCAAAGTGCTGGGATTACAGGCATGAGACACTGTGTCCAGCAGTGGTTCACATTTGCCCGGCTATAAGGGTCTTTAAAAGTTTCTTGCCCAGGCCTGGTGACTCACTAAAAATACAAAAATTAGCAGGGTGTGGTGGCATGCACCTGTAATCCCAGCCACTTGGGAGGCTGAGGCAGGAGAATCACTTGAACCTGGGAGCTGGAGGTTGCAGTGAGCTGAGATTGCACCACTGCACTCCAGCCTGGGCAACAGAGTGAGACTCCATCTTATAAAACAAAAAACTCCTTAGTGCAGGGGCTGGGAGAAGGGACACCATTTAACGCTCATGCTGCCCACCCTAGCTCTGCCTGTGAGAAGGGTAGGGGCATGGCGATAATAAGTGATTAGTTCATCTGTTCAACTTAGGCTTAGCCTGGACTCTGCTGCCTGGGGTCAATGGTGGGCCCTGCTTTCCAGTGGGATCCTGGGCTCACTGGACACACTGAAGCAGTGTCTCTAGCTCCTGGGTGTTTCTTGATAAGGCCAAGGATGAAGGGAGAAATCGGGGGTCTTTTGGGGAGGGGAGAGCCAGAGATTGAGTGTAGATCTTTCTCCTGCTTCTCCACATCCTCCATACCTTGGCTCTCCTGGCAGGCCCACTCGCCCCTCCTCTGGTAAATGTGACGAGTGAAGGTCCCACCCAGCTCCGGGCATCCTGGGTTCATGACCCTGGGGGCCGAGACCCTGTAGCAGGCAGCACCCTGGCAGACACCAGCACCGTGGGAGCCAAGGTGGCCAGCACAAGCTTTTTGAGTCTGACTCCAAGCACAAAATACAAGACAGGTTGTCATGAAGGCTGGGACCCTCCACACTGCAGCAGCCAACACCTCTGGATGGACCCGTGAGTGAGGCATGAGGAAGGCAGCAATGTGGGAGAGGTGGGCAAGGCTGCCTCTGAGAGCCCCGGGTCATCCCTCAGTGGTGCTCCCTTTAGCCCATTTTCCATCTCCACACCCGAGGGCCCTGGCACCATGCATGGGGCTCTGAGGACTGGGGCCAGTGGCCTGGCTGACTGCTCTCCCTCCCTCTCTCCCTCCCTCTGTATGCCCAGTGAGTTGTTGGTGCCCGTGCATGCGAGCGAGGCTGTGGTCAGTCAACCTTGCCTGGACCAGAGGCCCCGTGGGGCAGGGGGCATGCTGCACCCAACTCTCAGAGGCAAGGCACCTCTCCTGGGAGCACCCCCTGATGTCAGGCCAAGCCCACCTCATCCTGAGGGGCCTCACACCTGAGCCCAAGCTCTCCCTGTCAGTGCTGTGCCAGGTGGGGTCGCTACAGGCGTCCACTCACCGCATGGTGCTGCCTGTTGGTATGCAGATGTCAGCGTGGGGAAGGACGACGGTACCCTGAGATGCAGGCCCGATCCGGGTGGCAGCGCTGCCCGCTCAACTCCGAGCCACCTGCTCTCTCCAGGTGGATGCTGCACCCACCCTGCTCTGGGTTATGCCCCTTATGCTTCTCCAGTTGGGCAGTCATGTCCAAATGAGATGTTTTTTCTCCCTGGCTGATGTCCCTTTCTGTGGAAATAAATGCCCAGTCCTCTGTGCCTGTGGATTTTGAGAGCTCCTACCCAGAAGCCCTGCTCATAAGAGTGTGCTGACACCCACCCAATGCAGAGCCTTTTGATTCCAACAGAGCCTGGCCCTGTAGAGGATGTGCAGTGCCAGCCTGAGGCCACCTGCCTGGCCCTGAACTGGACGGTGCCCGCCAGGGATGTGGGCACCTGTCTGGTGGTGGCAGAGCAGCTGGCAGGAGGAGGGAATGCTCACCTCATGTTCCAGGCCAACACCTCCAGGAATGCAGTCCTGTTGCCCGACCTGGTGCCTGGCACTTCCTATGGCCCCAGCCTCTCCATGCCAAGCAGGAACGGAGTCGGGCGGTCACCGTGGTGTTCTCCACTTCTGCCGAGGGTAGGCAGCTTCTGTTGCCTCTGGGACTGCCTCCGTTCCCTGTCTTCCTGGGGATGTCTCTCCTCTGGTCCTGGCTGCCTGGGGTTTTCCCAGTTCCCCAGGGCCCAGCCCTTTCCTCTGGCCTTGATCTTGCTAGTTTGATACCATACTTTTGAGCCTCATGTCCTGGTACCCTAGCCCAGGAGCCTTCTAGTCCTTATTTAATTATATACATTAGCCATTTGTTGCCAGACACTGAGAGTCACTGGGGCTGTGATGGCATGGTCCCTGCCCTTGAAGATGGGTTGCTAGGCACCCAGCCAGGTCTTCACTGTCCTCCTCTCCATCCCCAGCCTGGCATCTTCCAGCATTCACCCTGGCCCCCGAGCTGGAGCCTGGGACAGAAATGGGAGAATGATCCCATGAGGCATGTTTGGCAAGGGTGACGGGCAGATCATTGCCACCACCACCATGTCACGTGAGTCCTGGGCCCAGGAGGGGATGGGGAGACCCTAGCTGTGGCATGGAGTAGGTGGCGGGGTAAGATGGGGACTGAGACCAGTAAGATGAAATATGTGAGGCTGGTATGAGTCTCGGAGCAGGAAGGAGAACCAGAATGTTCTGGAGGAGAGTGCTAATGTGAATGGTGGGCACATGCTAGAGAGATAGGGTAACCCATCTGTGGCAGGAAGAGAGGCCTCGCCCCACTGCCCACCCTGCTCCGCCCATGTCCCACTTCTCTCCCATGACTGAGTCTTCCCAGGAAGCCATCAACCACATGTGTCATGACCACTACTACGGAGGACATGACTCCTACCTGGCCATTCTGCTCCCCAACCCCTTCTACCTGGGGCCCTGGGCTGTGCCGAGATCCTGGACGGTGCCTGTGCGTACAGAGGACTGTGGCCACACCAAAGAGACATGCAATGGGCAGCTCAAGCTAGGTTCCAAGTACAGGTGAGGGCTCAGGCTGAAGGGAGTGGGGACGAGCCATTATAAGCTTCATTTTGGTTTGTAAACAAACAAGAGATCTGGATTGACTTATAAGCAGAATGCAGGTGATGGTCCATAAGGCCAACAGTGTTTTGACTGAGCTTCCCGGCAGATAAGGCAAAAATGGGAACACTCATTTGTTAGGCAGTGTTTTTTCCCCCCAAAAGGAAGGTGGAGTGTATTCTGTTTCAGCTTGCCAGGGCAGTTCCCAAGATATCCACACCTATTTTTGTTTTTTTTGAGATAGTCTTACTCTGTCACCTAGGCTGAAATGTGGTGGCCAGTCTCGGCTCACTGAAACCTCTGCCTCTCAGGTTCAAGCAATTCTTCAGCCTTAGCCTTCCAACTAGCTGGGACCACAGGCACAGTCATCACGCCTGGCTAATGTTTGTATTTTTAGTAGAGACAGGGTTTTACCATGTTGGGCAGGTTGGTCTCCAACTCCTGACCTCAGGTAATCTGCCTGCCTTGGCCTCCCAGAGTGCTGGGATTGCAGGCGTGAGCCACTGTGCCAGGCCCAGGTACCTATTTCTAGAGCTTCCTCTTACTCTCAGGCAAGGAAATCAGAGTTTGCTGTACGGTGGCAGATAGCATGATACGTGACCTCTGCCAAGCTTGTCCAGCCTGCCTTATTTTGTTACTGTTCTGTTCTATTTTGTTTTAGACTTTTAGCAGCCTGAGGCCATGGTTTTTAGTTTCTGTCTCTAGTGATAAGCAGACAAGAGGGATGAGGAAGGGGCTTTACTGGCCCAACCAGAAATGGAAACCAAGAACCCATTGGACTCCCCTGTGGAGGAGCGCTCACTGTCTGAGTGTCTACTGCTCGTGATCCAGATTGCTGGGAGGGGCTTCGCCTTATTTGCCTGCCTTTCCCCAACAGCGGATCCTGTTTCTCTGCCCAGGTTCATCGTTACAGCCCTTACCAGCTGCAGCCCTCCTGAGACCATCATCTCCTTCTCAGCCTTCTCAGGTAGGGCAGGCACTGGGCCCTGGAGATGGGGAGGAGACCCCTCTTTTGAGCCTCATCCCCAACGAGTAGCAGGAGGGACTGAGCTTAGACTGCTGGGAGAACATGTCCCGCTTAGCAGAGTGGGGAGGCCCAGAGCCAGTGCTCACGGCACCAGACTTGGCCTGGGCGAGCTGCGAATGCAGGCAGGAGAGTCTGTGGCATCACTGCCGCCTGCTGCTGTCCACACTCCTGCTGACTTCCCGCTCTGCCCCTCTGTACATGGATGCTCCCAGGCCATCGGGGCTCTAGAACAGCCCTGTCCAATGGAAATGTAAGGCAAGCCACATTAGTAATTTAAAATGTCTTTTTTTTTTTGGAGACAGAGTCTTGCTCTATTGCCCAGGCTGGAGTGCAGTGGTGTGATATCAGATCACTGCAACTTCTGCCTCCCAGGTTCAAGCAATTCTCCTGCCTCAGCCTCCCAAGTAGCTTGGACTACAGGTGCATACCACCACATCTGGCTAATATTTTGTATTTTAGTAGAGATAGGGTTTCACCGTGTTGCCCAGGCTGGTCTTGAACGCCTGAGCTCAGGCACCCGCCTTGGCCTCCCAAAGTGCTAGGATTATAGGCGTTAGCCACTGTGTCCCGCTAAATGTCTTTTTAAAACTACATTAAAAAGGTAAAAAGAAACAGATGAAATTAATTTTAGTGGCATTTTATTTAAACCCAAATATCTAAAATATCAACATGTGACCCATTAAAAACACTTTTTTTTTTTTGGAAACAGAGTCTTTCTCTGTTGCCCAAGCTGGAGTGCAGTGGCATGATCTCAGCTCACTGCAACCTCCACTTCCTAGGTTCAAGTGATTCTCCTGCCTCAGCCTCCTGAGTAGCTGGGATTACAGGTGCGCCACCATGCATAGCTGATTTTTGTAGTTTTAGTAGAGATGGGGTTTCACTATGTTGGCCAGCCTGGTCTTGAACTCCTGACCTCTAGTGATACACCTGCCTTGGCCTCCCAAAGTGTTGGGATTACAGGCGTGAGCCACTGCAGACAGCCAAAAACACTTCTAATGAGATATTTTACATTCTTTTCTTTCTTACTAAGTCTTTGATATCTGGTGTGTATTTTACACTTACAGCAAATTGTAAGTTGGAATTTCCATATTTCTAATGTTCGGTAGCTACGATATAGAACAATGCAGTTCTAGAAAGTCCAGGAAACCACGACTCTACCCTCTTTCTTTTCTTTTGATGGTGTCAGAGAAGGGAGTGGGGTCTTCGGGGCATGCCCGGGAACTGGGGGCAGGGAGGGGTTGCTGGGTGTTCCCAGTTTCCATCCAGATGTTCCCCCATGCTGCCATCTCTGGCCTCACTTTGGTATCTGGGACTTCCAGGGTACAGGGTTTTGTCACTGTACCCTTCACCCAGAGGGTCCCAGGTCCAGGAGAGCTTCGCATGGGTCTGTGGGACAAGGCTGCTATGTTCCACTCCTTCCTTCCCTCCACAGAGCCCCGGGCCAGTGTCTCTGTGGGTACAGAGGACTGTGGCCACACCAAAGAGACATGCAATGGGCAGCTCAAGCTAGGTTCCAAGCACAGGTGAGGGCTCAGGCTGAAGGGAGTGGGGACGAGCCCTCAGAAGCCTCATTTTGGTTTGCAAACAAACCACGGCAGTGCCCCTGCCGGCAGTGGCAGGCCCCATGGCGGGCTGTGTCCTCAGTGTCTGGGCTGTGCTGGGTCTGTTGTGCTGGAGGTGGTGAAGGTGCAGAGCTGAGTGGGAGAGAAGGCTAAGGGCTGGGAAGAACTTTGTGATCAGGGCAGGCCAGCTCCCTGCCCCTGGGGCTGCCTCCCACGTGCCCCCTCACCTTTTGCAGGTAAGGAAGGATCCATTTTTCCAAGAGCTGACTGCTTACAACCTGCCGTGAGTGCATTTTCCTGCTCTTCCCTGCCTTGTGGGGCCATGGTGGCATTGCCGAAGCTCCCCTGCCACCCACTCTGCTGTGTCTATGTTCCAGTCAGGAGGTTGCAAGGCTCTGCCAGACCCCCATTCTTCTTCCTCAGCCACCACCACACCTCCCCAAATGCCTTTCAATGCCTGGACCTCTCGCCCCCACTCCTCTCTGCCCATGTGGCCTCTTCCTCCTCCAAATGCACTCATACATAAGCCAGGACTTTCCAGAGAGACAGAACCATCAGGGCATGTATATGGAGAGAAGAGAGAAGGAAGAGAGAGGACAGAAAGGTGAGGGAGAGGAGAGGAGAGGGAGAGCGGGGGAAGAGAGAGATGTTGAGGAATTGGCTTATATAATTGTGGAGGCTTGGTGAGTCCAGAAATCTGGGTAGACCAGCAGGCCACAGGCTCAGGGAAGCATCTGGAGGCAGCCTGCTGCCAGGATTCCTTGTTGCTCAGAGTCAGTCTGTTCTATGAAAGCCTTCGACTGATTAAACGAGGCCCAGCCACATTAGAGTTTACCCAGTCAACCAGTTCAAATGTTAATCTCATACAAAAAACACCTCCACAGAAACTTCCAGAATAATGTTTGACCCAACCAAGTTGACACACAATTAACCATCACATGTCTCCAGTTCTCACCTTCTTTCCTCACTTCAGCCTCCCATGGAGCTGACATGAACTGGGCACTGGCTGTGCTCAGAAGCCCTCTTCAGGACCTGGGGAGGGAGTTAGGGGACTCAGGCATGTGTGTGCACGTCCGCATACTACATGTCCCCGGCCCCCTCTCTGTTCTCCCATGCTGGTGGTTTGCAACGCGTCCACATGCTACATGTCCCCCGCCCCCTCTCTGTTCTCCCATGCTGGTGGTTTGCAACGCGTCCACATGCTACATGTCCCCTGTCCCCTCTCTGTTCTCCCACGCTGGTGGTTTGCAACGCGTCCGCATGCTACATGTCCCCCACCCCCTCTCTGTTCTCCCACGCTGGTGGTTTGCAATGCGTCCACATGCTATATGTCCCCTGTTCCCTCTCTGTTCTCCCACGCTGGTGGTTTGCAACGCGTCCACATGCTACATGTCCCCTGTCCCCTCTCTGTTCTCCCACGCTGGTGGTTTGCAGCAAAGGCTGGGCATTGGAGGAGCTCGTAGGACGTGCACACTGCCCCACACCCAGGGTGGAGCTCAGGATCTGCGTTTCCAACAGGCCCCCAGGTGATCAGGTTGTGCTGCCAGGACGGAGGTCCCCTGCTCTGTACCCATCACCCAGGGGAGGGCAGGGCAGGACTCTGCAAACCTAAGGCTGGGGGGCTACCCTCTCCCTCTCTCATCAGACAGACCCCCCCTCTCATCAGGAAGACCCACCAGCCCATCCCTATCCACAGCTTCAGGCAGAGCTATAAGGCCAAGAGCACTCACGCACACCAGGCTTTCTTTTTGGAATTCAAGGTAAGGCCTCTACCACATTTGGGCTCAGAGGAGGGAAGCCTGGGACCTGTCTGAAGGTCTAGAGGGAACTCCCAGTTGCACACTTGCCCCCACTGCCCCTCTCCTGGCACCGGGTAAGATGTGTCTACTTCAGCAACCAGTATCTACCCTTGAACCCTGCAGGAGCTAAAGGAGGTGGGCAAGGAGCAGCCCAGATTGGAGACTGAGCACCCTCCCAACACCACCAAGAACCATTACCTGCATGTGCTACCCTGTGAGTGTTGGGGGCAGCAGAGGAGGCGTGGCAGAGGGCTAGGGCTTGGCATGGGGGCAGGGGCTTCATGTGCCCAGCCCTGAATGCACAGCTTTCACTCTCTGCAGATGACCCCTCCAGGGACAGGCTGACCCAGCTGGAGGGAGAGCCCCATTCTGACTACATCAAAACCAACTTCATCCCAGTAAGGGCCACTGGCGAGGCTGTCTGTGGGATCTGGGATCTGCTTGGGAGATGGGCTGGTTTGCAGGCCACACTGGCCTTCGTTAGCTGTAGCAGCCTTCTAGGAGATCACCAGCTTGGGCTGCATTAGCTCAATCCAGCAGGTGTCTAGCAAGGATCTGCTGTGCGCTGGGTTCTGTGCTCAGCCTGCAGGAGGCAGAGCTGAGTTAGTCACATTCCCCACCTTCAAAGGAGCATGTGGGCATGTGTGTGACACTCACCACACTTTGTGACCAGGGCTGTAATACAGGAACAAAGCACTGTGTTCAGGGCACATGGAGGAAGGAGAAATTTGGCCCACCTGAGGAATCAAGAAGGGCTTCCCAGAGGAGGGGGCATTTGATTTATCAATGCAGGACTTGTAACATTTTGATAAGTGTGAAAGAGGGAAGGACATTCTTCTGGCTGGAAGGAGCAGCCAGAGAACAACCAGGCAGTAATGCACAGACAGTGTGTATGTGTCGGGGGGAGGGCTCTAGGGGTGAGTGGGGAGGTGCTGGGCAGTGGGAGATGTAACGGAAAGGTAGCCTGGGGTTGAATGAAGGAGGGCTTGTTAGGCTGAGGGCTTTGGACTCTATTTGGTGGACAATGGGGAGCCATAGGAGATTTTTGAGCAAGGAATAAACACAGAGTTTGGTTTTAGGAAGGTAACTCTGGGTAGGTGAAAATGATGGTCTAGATGGACTATTTATCACATGTCAGAAGCTTGTTTTCATTGGGGCTTTTCTTGTCCCTTTGGGGTGGTGTCTCTGAAGTCAGTCCTCCTGGTCTGCATTCTGGGTGCACACATGTTAGCGTGTTTGCACGCATGTAGGTGTGGGTACAGCACCCTTACTCCTGGAGGTCAGATGTTGGAAATCTGCTGTGTGCTTGGCACCAAGCATTTTTAACATGTTCCTGACCTCTGCGCCCTCATCCCGGGGCTACACCTACCCACAGGAATTCATTGTACTCAAGAAAACGCTGGAGGACTTCTGGCAGCTGATGTGGGAGCAACAGGGGAGAAAGTCAACAGTGAGTATGGTGGGAATTTACTGCCTCCCTACCAGGGCCCAGGCTGGCTGGCTGACCAAGCATTCAGTGTCCCTTCTCAGTTCCTGCGCCCAGGTTGGGTTTTCTCACATCCCCAGACACCCCTGCCACACCTCTTTAGGTACCCCATCCAACTCTAGGTCAATTGCAGCAAGGGTGCCACCCAGCTGGGCACCTTCTTGGCCACGGAGCAGCTGCTGCAGCAGGCAGGGTCTGAGTGCACCGTGGATGTCTTAAGGAGGCCCTGCAGCAGTTTCAGACCTGTGGCCTCATGACGCCAACACTGGTGAGAGGCGACCGGAGGCGACCAGAGGCCACGTGTGGTGCTGGGGGAGTGGTGGGGGCCTCAGCTGTGGAAAGGGGCAGAGAGATCAGCGAGCTTCTGCCCAGGCCTCTAGGCCACACCACCCAGGCAGCCAACAGGTGGCGCTGTGAACCGCTGTGCAATCTCCCAGATGGAGTCCTAGGACTGGGACATACAAGGGACACTTTTTCTGTTAGATTGGGGCAGGCGGGGTGAGCCTCCCGCCCCTGTGTCCATCTCCAGGAGCAGTATCTACCTCTACAACTGTCTGAACGGCGCACTGGCAGACAGGCTGCCCTGAGTCGTCACTGGTCACTGTGCAGTGTCAGAGCAGGTCTGTGCCCTGCTGGATGGGGACAGCCAGCCCTGACACTTCCGCATGGCCGGGGCTCCCTGGAAGGGCGGCCTCCACTGGGCCCTGTGCTGCAAAGGGGCAGAGTCTCAGAATAAAGACATGTGGCCAAGCACGAGGCTCGGTGTGTCCTGTCTGTCCATCCTCGGACCTGGGTCCAGCATGTGGGTCTTGTGGTGAAACATGGAGCCGGGATGGAAGCTAGGGCTGGAGTCTGGCTGAACCGGGTGTCTTGTGGCCCCTGCGCTGTTGGTTTTTCCCCTGGAGCAACCCTCTCCCCACTAATCCTACAGTTTCTCAGTTTCCTCAGACTTCGGCCTCTCCACGTCTAGTTTCCTGTGGTGCTGAGCCTTGGATGCAGAATCACAGCTCCAAATTGTTCATCCTCTGCCTGCCACCCTGTATGCAGCAGGATTTATGCTGCTTCCCACATCCCTTCTCCTGCCATTCCCGTTCTTCTCTACCTGCCAGAGCCCCCAGGGCCACCCTCAGCTCCCACCAGGGTGGAGGTGCCAGAGCCACCCTGTGACTTGGAAGGCAGGCACTGGAGGCACCCCTCAGGTGGAGTTGCCAAGTTCTCCCTGCTTCTTCACTCCCTCCTCCTTCCTCCCCTCCACATAGGAGGGAGGTGGAGGAGAAAGCAGGGAGGGCATATGGAGAAAAAACCAGGAGGAGAAGCAGAGACCAGAAAAGAGGGTGGGGAGGCAGCTGTCTGTCCTGCATGCTCTAGGACTGCACTGCACACATGTGCATAATAGCTGGTGGCTGCCTGGGCTCTGGCCTGCCTCCCTGGCTAGACTGCGAGTTTCCAGGTGCAGTGCCTGATGCTGGACACCAACTGCCCCTGGTGGGAGGCCCTGGGAGGATGCAGAGGAAGCCTGGACAGACCAGAACAAGAGTTCCTGAAATGAAGTTGGATCTCCCCAAACGGGAAGTACGGAGAGCTCCTGGGCCGACCTGAGTTCCTACTAATGTGCAAGGGCCAGAAGTCAGGGGAGGGGCCTTCTCAGGCCTGGTGGAGGAAGGGTACAAAAATTATGCTGGCTGCTTAATTGAGAGCTTTCCCAGAATGGGACTAAGCACTGGTGCCCTCCCAGGAGGACTGAATGTCGGTGTCCTCTATACGCTGCGTGTATCAGGAGCTGAGAGCTTGGCCCCCTCATGACCCTCACAAAGGCAGGCTCCAGGCTCTGCTCTGAGCTGCCTGAGCCTGTCTCAAGCAGCTGCTGCTGAGGTTGCAACAGGGCTCAACCATGGCTTTTCCACCCTAGGAAAACCTCACGTTGGAGCAGCAGGAGCTGCAGATGAGATGGAGCTGAGGCTATGGCTGAATGAAGGAAGGACAGGCTGGCCTGTGGTAGCTTTTGCTATAGGGCAGAGGTGGCTCTATCTGTGGGTCTTTGTGGTCATACAGGCCTATCCTCTGGCCTTTCTAGGAGGCTCATCTTCTACTTTCAGTGCCATGGCCCCAACTGGAGGCCTAGGGTCAGGGTCTGCTCATTTCTGGTCCAGCTGTGCAGCCTCTCCAGCCCTGGGAAGTTATCAGAGAGTGAAGTGGCATTGATGAGAGGGTCCTGGCATGTGGAAGTACAGGGCGGAAGAAATCCTGGATGCCTCTGAGGTCCAGGGTTTCTGGTATACCCTCTGGCTGGACCATGGGGAGACAGGGCAAAAATGGAAGGAAGGGGGCCCACAGACCAGTCTAGCTCGGGACTCGGGCTTGACTCAGCATGGGAGAGACCAGGGAGAGCAAGAGGCTGCCCGAAGGAAGCACAGCCAGCTCACTGGGGTCTAAGGAGAGAACAGCGATTGACCTCAGTTTTGTTTTGTTTTGTTTGTTTTTTGAGACAGAGTTTCATTCTTGTTGCCCAGACCTGGAGTGCAATGGCGTGATCTCGGCTCACTGCAACCTCTGCCTCGCGGGTTCAAGAGATTCTCCTGCCTCAGCCTCAGGAGTAGCTGGTATTACAGGCATGTGCCACCATGACCGGCTAATTTTTTGTAGAGACAGGGTTTCTTCATGTTGGTCAGTCTCGAACTCCCGACCTCAGGTGCTGGGATTACAGGCCTGAGCCACCGAGCCCGGCTGACCTCCGTTTTAACCACCATGCCCCTTGCTCACCAGGGCTCTGGGGCCGCCAGGTCAGCGCCTTGGTGGGATTCCGGCCTCGGGGTGGCTGAGCTGCAGCGGCAGCACCCGGCCTCCAGGGGGCGCCTATCCGCTTACTTTGAAGCGGGCTCTGACAACCAGCTGGGCTGCCCGCGGTTCCTCAGCCTCCTGAGGTCCTGGGAGAGAGGGCCAAGGTGGTCCCCGGGCCGGAAGCCTGACGGAGGCTGCAGGAGTGCATTTCCACCCAGGGTGCACTCAGCGGGTGGAAGTCCACACCCGTTTCTCCGGAGTCAGGGCGTGGAATCTCCGGCTCTCAGGGAGGAGACGGCTCCGGGTCGCCAGCGGCCGGGTCATCCCAGCGGGCAGTGGCCCCTCTGCAGCCTGGCGCCTCCCAGCGCAGCCCCTCACTCCGCTCTCCGGTCCAAGAGGCAGGCCCAGGCGGGCGGGTGAGTGCCAGCTCTGGGGCTGCCCCAGCAGCCGTGTCATCTTGAACAAATCGTTTCTCCTCGTGGGTCTTGATTTCCTCCAGTCTGAAACGTGGTGGAGGCATCTGAGGGGCCCTGGGAGCCCCCAGGTCTCTCTCAGAGGCCTCCTCTGGGTTCCATGGGACCCCGTGGCTGTCCCGAGAGGCAGGAGGGTCCAGAGCCCCGCGGCCGAGGCCCTGGGGAACCCTTTCCAAACAAGTGCAGGTCTCTGACGGGCTGAGCTTTGCTCGCTTGGGTTTCTTTGCTTTCTTCCTTTTTTTTCGTTCCTGGATGAAGTTGCTGCCAGCTCCGAGGGAAGGAGGGAAGGGGAGCGCGCCGCAGCGTAGAAAGTTTCCCTGACTCCTCCTCCGGCTGGTCTCCCTCCCTTGCCAAGCCCAGCCTGTGAAACTGAATAACGAAGATCACTCAACAATGCCTGCCCCTCTCTGACTGCACAGTCCCGGCGCTCCCACCGCCGCCGACGCCCAGCAGAGCGCGCGGGGCGGTCCCCACCGACGGCGCAGCCCGCCGGGACCGGGAGGGAGCAGCGGCGGCCACCGCGCCCGTGCGCCCGCGCACCCGCCCGCCAGGTGCCCTAGCCGCCCAGCCGCCGAGATGCCCAGCCCGCCAGGGCTCCGGGCGCTGTGGCTTTGCGCCGCGCTGTGCGCCTCCCGGAGCGCCCCCCAGCCCGGCCCGGGGCCCGCCGCCTGCCCGGCCCCCTGCCACTGCCAGGAGGACGGCATCATGCTGTCGACCGACTGCTCTGAGCTCGGGCTGTCAGCCGTACCGGGGGACCTGGACCCCCTGACGGCTTACCTGTGAGTACTGCCCGCCTGTCCCCGCCTGGTCCTGCGGGCTGTCCGCTAGCGCCCAGTCCTGGCCTCGGCAGGGCACCTGCTTGCTTGGTGCCCTGGGGCGCGGGCATCCGGGGAGGGTTCGCCCCCTTCCAAGTTGAGCGCCGGGGGACTGGGGAGGGGAGAAGAATGTGAGACTAAATCTCAGGCCAGCAGGGAGCCCGGGCTTCCCCGACTTGGCTTCCCTGTTGGTCTCCGGGGTTATGGGCTCACTGTGGGCGCCCAGCTAGGCGAGGTGGATTCTGAACCCTGAGCAGGAGGGCGCGGGGCTGGCTGCCCCATCTCCTGTGGCTGCCTTCTCCTCTAGCTGATCAGTGCCCGGGACCGTGGCTGAGGGCAAAGCAGATGGAACTGGAACTGGAACTGGAGGTGGAGGTGAGGGGAGGTGAGGGGAGGTGAGGGGAGGTGCCCCAGTGGGGTGGAAGTCATGTCTGTTCCTCTGCCATGGTGAGGACAACAAGGCTGTCACGATGAGGCTGGGTGGCCTTCGTGGGGGGGGGGGTCCCAGAAGCTAGGAGGGGGGCCTTATCCACTCTTGTCTCCTCAGAAAGGGACTATGCCAGCACCATCTCCCTTAGCTGGGGCCTCCTGGCTCCTTCAGGGTCCTCCCTAAAGTCATGTCCCAAGAGGCTGAGTTGGAGACACTAATTTGTGGGCAGGCGCCGAGGCTGAAAACCAGAGAACCATTTTTAGCATCTGAGTTGGGGTGAGATGGCGCGTGAAGGGGACCCTACTGGGGGCAGCTGTCCTATCCGTCTGGCTCAAAGGAGTGTCCCTTCACAACCGGAGGGTTGGGGGCTCTGACTGCTCACCACCTGGGCAGGAGGAGGGTGTAAGAGCACATTCCGGGCCATACACTGCACCCCCAGCCCGGCTCTGGGGAAAGGAAACCTCCTCCAGCCCAGCCTGCAGGGTTCTCACCTCAGAGGTGCTGGGAGCAGGTGGGAAAGCCTGGGGCCTTCTGCTGAGGGCTAGAATCCCAGAGCTCCTTCTGGCCTGAAAGAGGCCTTTCATGGCTTCAGGATTCCAGCACTTGGGAGCTCAGAGGAAGAGGAGGCTGGGCAAGGCTTTATAGGGGCCAGCAAGAATTTGTTGAACTAAAAGGTTGCTCAGTGCTGGCAGTGTCCTGGTGAGAGGTGGAGGGTCCCAGATGGCAACTCTTCATGGGTCACCTCTCCAAATGTCCCTGTCCCCAGGTCGGGATGTTCTCCTCCACTTCAAAAGGCACAGGCTGTGAGCACAGGTGAGGGAGTGAGAAGGGAAAAATAAGGTCCATCTTCCAGAAGGGCAAATGAAATCCTCCACAGTGCAGTGGCGACGGCAGAGGCAGTCATGGGAATAAAGGCACAAGCTGCCCAGACCCAGGTGCTCAGCACCTGGCAAAGCAGAGCAGGCTCCGGCCCCAGCCCGACACCCAGACCAGCCCTGTTTTCAGCAGTTTTATTTCCTGGGAGTATATGACATTGGTTCATCTGTAGACAGGATCCTGTGGCTAAAGAGTTTAGACATGACTTCTCTGGAGCCTTTCTCTGGGCAAGCCAAAGAGAGGTCGCTTGCCCAGGTTGAAGGGGCAGGGGATATAGGGCCTTCCAGAGCTTGATGGTTCAGCATCCCTTCCCAGCATTAAGTCTTCCTAGACTGGACAATGATCCTTTTTCTAGAAGGACTTGGGGAAGGAGG